TCTATTAGACACTGCGTGCATGTTAAACGATCTTTATCGCATGTCAATTATTGCCAACAAGCTCACATATAGACTTGTTGGGGAATGAATGAAAAAGGCAAAACAATCTTAGACACATTAATGAAGTTATATAACATGTCTGCCATAACAACGGAAAGAAAGTGATATACACTTTTTACACCATGTAAATTCAAAATATGAAACATTAGGATATCGTGATACACATTTAGATTAGAGGAGAAAACCAGCACTGTGTAGGTAACCCAATATTACCAAGGGTCTCATATGTCTGTTTTAGTACTGCATTAAATTAAAATTCACTCATGCACAAAATCTTAAAATCATTCAAAGGCTAATTGTACAGAGGTTATTTCATTCCAATGTCTTCCGTAGTGGCACTCTTCTGAATTCTTGTTCAAAATAATAACGAGAGAACAAACAACCTCAAGCTATGTATTTTAAGTACAAAGAAAACATTTTTAGACATATCCTGCATGTATCTGCATACTCACCACATACGCTGCATGTTTTATAACAACCCATTTTCCGAACAGCCTCTATATCATTGCAAATTTTAAGACGACTTTGGTAGAAGAGACAGTCAGGGGATTTGTCCTCACATGTAGGTAGACTGGACAAATCATTGCTAACTGAAACGGGTCGTATGAAATAACATTTTAAATGCAACTATTTTATTTAATATACCTATTATATATTCCTACGTGCACATAATGCATTATTATCAAATTTGAGCAATGTCGTGTTTTCTGAGTGAGAATCGGGTATAGAAAAACATAAGCCGTGATTGCGAGAATGAAAATTGGATGGAATGCTAAGGAAACATTGCCTGCTGATATTGTGGATTTGTAATATGTGATACCACTGACAAAATCAGTGTCATATTTGTGCTTTATCTGGGTTTCGAACTCGCTATATACAACAGGATTGTTTAATTATTAGGGATATTAACCTGAACCATGGTTTGGCTTATTTCCAGTGTCTGGTTTACGATTCTCTTCAGAATTGGTAAATTCCTCAACGTCACTCACATTGTTATATATTTCTGAAAGAAAGCATTAATTAAATAGTTACCGAACTCCACTGATTCTTTTAAATTCCTGGATTATTTACAGCTGAATTATTTTACCAATTAATGCGTTAATGTTCATCATACGCTAGATAGAATACGCTGCATTAATGTATCTTCCATAGTAGTACGTTTGCTTTGTTCACATTTGTATATTACCTGAAAACGTGATAAGTAGCAGAAGGACCACTATTGCGATCAGGAAAATATACCGACATCGTGTGCGCATGTTTATTGTACTGTTAACACCTGTAATGAACAAAGGATAAAAGCCTTTAAAACATTTTGTTTACTTGAAGTTGCCAGTTGACGAGAGAGAGAGAGAGAGAGAGAGAGAGAGAGAGAGAGAGAGAGAGAGAGAGAGAGAGAGAGAGAGAGAGAGAGAGAGAGAGACAGAGAGAGACAGAAAGAGAGAGAGAGGAGGAGAGTTAAAATCAACCCGAAAGTTCGCTTTATTTCCTTAATCCCATACCAAATGGGAAAAAATCAAATCCATTATATGTTATTATTGATTTTTCTAGTAAATGCAAATAGGAATTTGCGCATCAAATTTGAAGTCATTTCGATCTACTGTTGATACAACGCTTCACCACGATGTTCAGTTGACAGGGAGTAACTTGAGTCAAAGGTCACAATGTAGCGAACACTTTTGATCCACGACACACCATATCACCAAGTTAAACCCCTGCCCCATGTCTGAAGTTCCAATGACAAGCTCTATAGAGGATAGAGCCCAGCCATGCTAGAGGGAAAGAAATGGAAGGACCAACGGACACAACGAGAAACCGGCAAAGGACTAAATATCAACGAATCGTAATCTGTTTCAAAAGGCTGAAGTGGTGTTCTCGATAACATGTCTTATTGGATAAATGTGTTTGCCACTGATATCTTATTTCAACATATTTTAAACAAGATTCAGAAATAGGTAATACCCATCATTTGTCCCAATAATACTGAAAATAAGAAATCTATTATGTAGCAAATAATCTTACAAATAGAATTTCTGGAGTAAAATATGAAATTAAATGTAGCAGAAAGAAACTATTAAATGTGTTTTTAAAATGGGGAACCACTTAAAACTTTCGGCTAATCATAAACATGTCAGGGAATATTTTTTCTTATCTTTGAAAATATTGTTGTTTTGATGTTAAAATCTGCTCACGTAATACAATACAAGTACCTCGCGCATGCTTTGTTTATCAACTTCCTCCTGTAAAGCAAACACGACCACCAGTATGTATGATAAGGCTAAAATATCCCATACGCGTATTTAATACTACAGCGCTGATATAATCACCTCAATAATAATTAATTGACAATTATTAATTAGAATTATAATGACACTTAACTAACATTACCACCTTTCTCTTTACTATTCGAATACACATCGATTTGTATTCCTATACGTTTATAGTTTGTATTGTGACATTTGCTATTGTCATGCCTTAGCTTCTGATGCTTTAGCTTACATCACAAAGTACACTGATAGCTTACATCACAAAGTACACTGATAGCTTACATCACAAAGTACACTAATAGCTTACATCACAAAGTACACTGATAGCTTACATCACAAAGTACACTGATAGCTTACATCACAAAGTACACTAATAGCTTACATCACAAAGTACACTGATAGCTTACATCACAAAGTACACTAATAGTTTACATCACAAAGTACACTGATAGCTTACATCACAAAGTACACTAATAGCTTACATCACAAAGTACACTAATAGCTTACATCACAAAGTACACTAATAGCTTACATCACAAAGTACACTAATAGCTTACATCACAAAGTACACTGATAGCTTACATCACAAAGTACACTAATAGTTTACATCACAAAGTACACTGATAGCTTACATCACAAAGTACACTAATAGCTTACATCACAAAGTACACTGATAGCTTACATCACAAAGTACACTAATAGCTTACATCACAAAGTACACTAATAGCTTACATCACAAAGTACACTGATAGCTTACATCACAAAGTACACTGACTCCTTCTATTTCTTTAGCTTACATCACAAAGTACACTGACTCCTTCTATTTCTTTAGCTTACATCACAAAGTACACTGATAGCTTACATCACAAAGTACACTGATAGCTTACATCACAAAGTACACTAATAGCTTACATCACAAAGTACACTGATAGCTTACATCACAAAGTACACTAATAGCTTACATCACAAAGTACACTAATAGCTTACATCACAAAGTACACTGATAGCTTACATCACAAAGTACACTAATAGTTTACATCACAAAGTACACTGATAGCTTACATCACAAAGTACACTGCTAGCTTACATCACAAAGTACACTGATAGCTTACATCACAAAGTACACTAATAGCTTACATCACAAAGTACACTGACTCCTATTTCTTTAGCTTACATCACAAAGTACACTGACTCCTTCTATTTCTTTAGTTTACATCACAAAGTACACTGATAGCTTACATCACAAAGTACACTGATAGCTTACATTACAAAATACAGTGACTCCTTCTATTTCTTTAGCTTACATCACAAAGTACACTGACTCCTTTTTCTTTAGCTTACATCACAAAGTACACTGATAGCTTACATCACAAAGTACACTGATAACTTACATTACAAAGTACACTGACTCCTTCTATTTCTTTAGCTTACATCACAAAGTACACTGACTCCTTCTATTTCTTTAGCTTACATCACAAAGTACACTGATAGCTTACATCACAAAGTACACTGACTCCTTCTATTTCTTTAGCTTACATCACAAAGTACACTGATAGCTTACATCACAAAGTACACTGATAGCTTACATCACAAAGTACACTGCTAGCTTACATCACAAAGTACACTGATAGCTTACATCACAAAGTACACTGATAGCTTACATCACAAAGTACACTGACTCCTTCTATTTCTTTAGTTTACATCACAAAGTACACTGACTCCTTCTATTTCTTTAGTTTACATCACAAAGTACACTGACTCCTTCTATTTCTTTAGCTTACACCACAAAGTACACTGATAGCTTACATCACAAAGTACACTGACTCCTTCTATTTCTTTAGCTTACACCACAAAGTACACTGATAGCTTACATCACAAAGTACACTGACTCCTTCTATTTCTTTAGTTTACATCACAAAGTACACTGATAGCTTACATCACAAAGTACACTGACTCCTTCTATTTCTTTAGTTTACATCACAAAGTACACTGATAGCTTACATCACAAAGTACACTGATAGCTTACATCACAAAGTACACTGACTCCTTCTATTTCTTTAGCTTACACCACAAAGTACACTGATAGCTTACATCACAAAGTACACTGACTCCTTCTATTTCTTTAGTTTACATCACAAAGTACACTGATTCCGTATACTGTGAGGTATAAAGAGTAAACTGATATTGCTGTGCTCTGGTAAACAGGAAGTATTCGACTTTACTATCAATTACTATACATACTGTTTAACACCTAGTAGGAACTACAATTCTTGTAATTTTCAATGTGTTCACAGATAACAATTCAACCTCGTTTACATCCTCTGTTGGTGCCTCATTGTTCTTAAATATGACTTGAATATGTTCTCTTCCACTGTATAAGTGAAAATTAGTGTTAGATTTGGAAAATGAATGCAATATTTGAGGATGAACCGGACCTAGATCAAATAGGCAGAGAGTGGAAAAACCTTTCTATACACGATAATAAATATAACACGAGGACTGAGTCATACCTAAATAACTGAACTCACTCAACTAGGGACAGTCCGTGTAACGTACTCTACTGAAAAGTAATGGCCTCGAAATGATATGCGTAAAGTATAGTTGTACCTTTCCCATGGATGGCCATTGAACTCTGACTTACTACAGGGTGTGTACACTATCAAACTCACATTGATGAACAACTTATCATTTGAATAGGTAGCATTTTTCATGAAATTATTGGTCATGTTTGAGATATACAGGTATAGCAGTTTGTTTATAAAAATACGTCCTTTCATATCAGGGGCGGATACAGGAATTTAAGTTAGGGGGGCGTTATAATTAACTTACTTAACTCTTTCTGTCGTTATGTGATCAGCTATAATAAAGTTACTGTATACTTGAAAATTAGCCCAACTTAAGTCATCTATAGCTGTTTAGAACAGTGATAGTCATAACATACGACCAAGACCATCCAGTATACTTCGTAACTCACCCTTACTCTGCCAATTTTAGGGGGGCGTGCGCCCCCCACGCCCCCCTCTAAATCCGCCCCTGCATAACCATTACATTAATAATAAAGAGATAAAAGTTGTGTAAATCAGAAATTCCCCCTGATTTTTGATATGTGATTGTCATGGTTACCAACTCAAGAAATACTAAAAATGCAAAAATACTGCTAATTCAAACCTAACACTTTAACTTTATGTAAGAAATTTATTTCTGAATACCTGTCTTAAAATCGAAATCACTATCATGGTAATAAACTACTTACATTTCAGCAAATTCCAATTCGGAAATTCTTCACAACATGACCACGTGAAAATGCTATGAAAATTTCTCTTCATGTAAACATAGGTTTTGGTTCGAAAACACAGATTCAAGACTGTCCAATTAGTAATCTCCAACACAAAGCTAGAATATTATTCTGAAAAAAATGAAACCCCACATTGTCCACGTCAACATGACAAGATCAATCGTAGCAAGGATTGTTTTAAATTTTTTAATTAAAACCTTTATGATGCGGTAATCTAATGATAAAAAATATCACATAGACAACACCGAGAAACTGTGTACTGCTACCATATGAGAATAATTTTATTTCTAGCCATATAACAAAACCTCTTAGTCCATCAACGATACGGTTAGTCTGTCTAACCTAACCAGACCGACTTCATTCATCTGAAACGACAAAGCTAGTCTGATAATCACACAATCTTAAGTAAAGACTATGATCCAGCTCTCATAAAGTGTATCGTCAGTACCTTTTCGTTATGTTAGGTAAATAACGTTTGATTTACTTACATTGTGGGCTGAGTAACTCTGATGAAAAATGCTGTGTTCCAGGTAAAACACACACCTGAATATCCGCGATAAAAGCGGCTTGCCATCAACCCAATGAACGGGGCTACAAGGCTAACACAAACTGGGTACTCCGAGTCGCTCAGTTGTAATGTTTTTTCACGATTGAACCTTTAAAGTCCATAGGCCATAAACATGCGATCGTATACAATAACAATATATGAAATAATTTAAAAACCAGGTATTCAAATGCAATGCTATTTTTTTCTTCTGGCATTGACATTTCGTGGACGGATATAGTTACATGTTTCATTAAGACTAATTTCAATGCATTGAAAGATAAAGAATCACTACACATTTTACGTCTACAGGTTAACTGTAGTACAATAATGATAAAATTAGCAATAGGTTATGAAACAACTAACCCAAAACTTCATAAGTATTCATTGCTTTCAATGCTGCGAGATTGTCTATTCAGAAAAAATATCGTTAATATAAAGATAACAATTATATTATTATTACATTAATATATATTATCATTAAAAAGTGACAACATGACTCATGTTGTTGTCAAACCGTTCTCGTAGAATTCGTGTTTTGCATTGGTAAGTAATTCAATATACTGTCTGCATATTAAAATATATACAAAGGTAGTATTTTTTTTATCAATTTAATCGTTAATTGAGACACAAAGAAAAACTGGAGCAGTGTACAGAGGTTTATCTTACACATTTACGATCCATGTTATGATAAAACTCGCTATTATTAATGTGCCTACATTTTCCATTTTCTTTGCAAGGTATCATGCAAACGGGAAGTCAGGAAATTAAAGACGAACTTTTTTTTTTTTTTTTTTACAAAATGTTACATTTATTTAATTAAGAAAGGTTAGTACTTTGTTCGTGTTGAAACAATCGACAACAGATTTATTATGTATATGTATAATTTAATTTAGATTTACATAACACTAAATGCGGCTAACAATTAGTATGATAAAAGTGTCAAAATTATCATAAAATCTGATTGACTCAAAATGAATAAATGTCTACATACAAAACAACCACTTTTCAAATAATTTAAAGAATTAAGTAAATTTGATGAAAGGTTCACTGAACAAAGGAAACAAAACATACATGTAAACTCCAGTGCTATATAGTAGGGCATTGAAATGCAAGATAATTTAGATTCTCCTTACTGCAGTTTTTCATATCTATGATCTGTAGCATTCTTAATTTTGTATCATTACTGATTCCTATGTGAATTATCGCACATTAAAACGCAGTGCATAACGTTATGTTAAATTTGTACAGGTGATACAACTGATTTCATGAAACACATAAAGAGAGTACGAAATAAATACTTTATTTGTAGATTGCAGAAGTCAAGGGGAGAACACCACATAAAATGTAAAGGTTTCTTTTTTGGGAGGAATGTGTGATAATAATATGTATTCTGTGGGATTAATGGGTAGCATCAAAACTTTACTAGATGCTTTACTGATTCCTTGTTTTGATTTGAATTATAACCAAACCTCCACATTATAATCGTATTATCACAAGAAAACACAATCATAATTTGCAAAAATACAATTAAGGGAAAAGGAATTTGGAAAATGGGAGACCTGTAATTCCAGGAAACAGCTTTCTTTATTAAGTAACACCATGTTGATATTGATGTAGTTATGATCATAGTCATAGTGATAGTGTATGGTGGTAATGATGTTGAGAATGATGAAAAGTTTTGTCTTAATGAAATGATGATCACGTTAGTGATGGCGATAAATGACGAAAATACTGATGTATTGATGTCATGACAATGACGCCGACAATATTGAGGAGGAGGAGGATGATGATGATGATGATGATGATGATGTTAAAAAGGGATATGAACATTTTATGACATGTTTCCGTTTCTTTGCGTTATGTATGATAACTTATTTTTAATTTGTCGTTTAACACCATATCATTAATGCTATCCAAATGGAAATGAAAAAGTATTCTCTTAGTACCAAAACATCGGTGAAATAGTATTCAAAAACTTTATAAGCTTTAGATATATAAGCTACAACATTTACTTTCCCATCATTTCCTGATGTACATGCTATTTTCCAGAATCCTGAAAATTATCATCAGGTATTGATAACGGGAAAAAACTCGAGTTGTTGAATTTTTTTCTGTGGATCGAAAGAATCAAATGACCGCCGTTAATGCATGAATACAGCTTTAAGCAGTGCACTTTTCCCATACCATTAATTACATTATAAGAATGTAGAAAAAGGCAATATGAGCTTTCCAAATACAGTGTATATATACTACCCAAAAAAATCAGAACCAGCTGCATGACTAAACGGATGTTGATATAAATATAAATATATTGAGGACTTAATTAAGGAAAAAGGAAAAACGTCAGAAAAAGTCCAGTTTGGAAAGAAACAGATAACACATGTTTAACTTGGATGATGAACAGTTCACAGATTACATTGCATTGGTATTTCTGATAATAGTCATCACTCCTAATGTAAAACAATTACGATGAACTGGTGGCAATGTTGATAAGAGGCTTGGCACTTCTTTGATTGTCAACTGAATTCTGGATGATGGAAGCCAGGTACGGGAATGTCCGCAAGATTCCTATTATGGATGTGCGTAACCTACGTGCTCTTCGCAAATCATCCTCACGTAAATTGGTCTGGGTTAGTATCTGAGTAAGAAAAAATTAAAGTTGATAATATGTTTCAGTTTTGGAAGCAAGATATAAATAACTGGTTGTTTACAGTTGTCCCCGTTTAATAATTTTGAATATATCAATTGAACCTTACATACTGCAGTAAAGTGTTTTAACACAGCATCCATCATAACTGAATGTATTGTGTAATGCCACCAATAACACAATAAGCAATACATGAAGGTTATTTCACCGAAAAATATAGACAGGAGAAATTGTCATTTCTTTCACGTTATTTCTTTAGGTTTTAATAAATTTTTCATATGAGAAGATGAAATGTTACATACATGTTCCAGTCTGGACATACAGAATTCTAAGCATTCGAGAGGAACTCCGCACCGATTCTTGCGCCGTGGTGTATATGATAACATCACGTGCAGATTCTCCAGTAGTATGTGCACCTCTCTGAGGAAAACGTAGTTAGACCTAAGTTCCATAGTTGACGATTCGTTTGAAAGTTCATCTGAATTGAAATCTTTCTTATACGTCTTTATCTGCAACGAAAAATAGCAAACTGTGATATGTTAATCATGTTCTCTGCGAGACATCGTCACTTTTAACATAGGCAAGTAATTTGGTAGGAGTTCGTAAATGATTTATTTCGCTGATTTCGTGGGTTCTCTTAAAGAATTCACATGATTAACAGATGAAATAAATATCATCTTGGCACAAGTTGATTTTGTAAATATCATTTATTCATGAAAGTAATTGTAAACGAAAATGTACTTTTAAAGAACACCTCGAAACATATTGCTTTAAAATAATTATTTCCCCCTCAAGCTATGACAGCAATTAATGTAGGGCTCATATTTTTGCAGTTTTACCAAAAGTTTGAAACAAACTGGGTGTCAAAAAATGAATTCATTAAATTTATTTTCAATGTATGGAACCCTTGAAGAATAACGCCCTACATAGTATACCTGAAAGATTTACTTCTCCTATTCGGCCGTTGATAACATGAAATATGTTTGTAAGCCGCCCTCGAGGAAGAGGATTTAAATTTACCTTGTATGATGTTGAATTTTCAAATCTTTTAATTTTTTTTTCAATGGCAAGATTTGAGAATGTCTTTTTCCATTGGTACCGATGTTCGACACATTTCTCATAAAACTTGGTGTGCATGTTGCGTAACTGTATGTCATCCAAAGACATGGTCTGAAAGAAAAACAATTGTAAAGGGGTCATTTTTATATCCCTGAAATTGTGTTCAATCGATGCAATATATAAATTATTTTCCGTTATTTCGTTTATTCATATTTTTATATTATATATATATATATACATATAATTTAGTGATGTAATACGCAGATATCAGTATATATATATATATACATATTCCTCAGTTTTCTTCAGCCTACCAGAAAATATAATTGCATTCCTTTTACATATTCTCTACTAGTCAAATTTGTATGTCTAACTCACTTAAACACTTGTATCGGTGTAAACATAGCACTTTTATAATTTTGCATTCGACCCCTCTTCTGCATTAATGTTGACACAATTTCAGAACACAGTATACCATTCAATTTCTTGGTTTTGTTGATATGTTATTGCTTAACTCTACTGGTCACAAAGGCCTTGCAAAACCGTTTAAATTCACTTTCAGATATATTGATGACGTCTTGTCTTTAAATAACAAGACATTTATTGACCACGTCCATGGTATATATCCACCAGATTTGGAATACACGACATACTCTTCTACAACAGCCACTTTTCTCGATATTTTTCTACAATGAAACTAACACGGACAGTTTTTCACCAAGCTGAATGATAAACATGATGATTTCAATTTCTCTATTGTGAATTTCCCACATCTAGATAGTAACAATACCTGCATTCCAAACCTACAGCATTGAAATATCGCAGTTGATTCGATGTTCAAGGGCCTGTTCCCATTATCACGATTTTCGTGCAAGACGTCGACAACTGATGGACAAATTCGTAACACAGGATTTCAAATGATGCAGGTTGATAAAAATGTATACGATGTACGGTCATCATTGTTATCTCTTTGAGAAATAGTCTATTTCTATGTGTGATATGAAGCTGGACGTACTTGATGTTCGTTAGTTTGCGTATTTGTTCCGTTGTTGTATACCTTGTTCCCATTTGGAAACGTTACATTACTTACTTTGATTGACGAAAATTTACATGGTGGGTGTTGTTGATGAAGCAGATGATGCTTCCAGAACACCTGGTCTTATTATCCTGGTATTTTTTTCAGAAGTCTTTCTTTTGTTAATATTTCACCCTAGTTTTATTGAATTTGTCTGGATCGTGATCATGTTGACATAAAGGTATTTTCTTGTTTTTGTACATTAAAGGAGGGATTCTTAAATACAGTTTTCATCTGCATACCAACAGCATTTTAGGTTTAAAATATTCCAACAAATAAGTAGTAACATTTTTCTTTGTAAGCTTCTCATCTTTTTAATTTAGATATAATTGTTGAATATTTGTTTTGGCAAATCAAATTACCAGAAATGTCGACTTGATTTCACATACTAGCTTACACATAGGTTAATAATAAATGCGTCTTCAACATATAAAGAAATAATCATAAAATATTTCATTATAAATGATTTAAGTATTTTACGTACAATCAAATTAGATGCGTTGTCTCTACATTGTACTCCGTCGATGTGGCTGCTGATATTTCGAAGACATTCCCAGCAAAAAACATGTGAACATACGCATGTCATTTGCGTACAGCCGCCATTTTTCTCTATAGGGTAATGACATTGTGGACATTTTTTTACGTGGACGTAATATTCAGCAGATTCCGCCGGTCTTTTACCTCCCTCGATATGGCCTGTTTCATTACGTTGAGCAAGATTGTATAAGAAAAACAAGTGAAAAGCACTTTGAATACAACTTCTGAGTTAGATACAGCTGAACAAAATAATGAATTTCACTGCATCAAACAACTGTTTCGTCGTTTCAGTTCTGTTTTTCAAAAATAAAAGAATCTGCTGTGATAATAGTAGTAGGATACTGATTTGGACTTTGGAAAAAAAATTCAAAATACTTATAAACTGCGATTCTATACTACTCTTGAAAGGCGTTATTACGCTTTTATTGGCGTATTAACGCGATTTATATTTTTTTTCCTTCGAAATTTGATTTTTCTAGGCTTTCGTAGGATACATTATACCTGAACACGAATTATTTATTTGGAGATTTATCTACATTTTGATCTCTGTGAATATCCATAACCGAGATATCAAATCAATCATCCTCTCTTTTCTAGTTTAGTTGAATTTTCATTTATTCGTGCTGTCTAATTCATAACTCAACCGTGGCGAGAGTGAGACGTATTAATGGTGACAGACTTTTAGAGATATTAGATCGGTTAGATCGTGACTTTGGTATGTAAAGTTTTCATCACGAGTCAACAACTATAGACATCTATATGATATGTATGAATGTACCTGTTTGCATTTTACCTACCATTCACCTCTTGACCTTGTCTCATTGAGGTTCAATGTGGCATATAGTTGTTACGTACCATTTTGGGCAAGTCTCTTACGATAGTCTGAGTACTGGTCACAGGTTGCCGGCCAGTGAACATCGGATTGACAGGAGAAACACCAAGTCCTGTTACAGGCGCAAATGACAGGAATATTTTCGTCTATGAACCTACTGCCTACAGATACAGAAATAGGATGTGCGTCAAAGGTAAAACAAAACAGACAATAGTGAATTCAAAGCAGATGGTAAAACAGAGTGAAGTATTTAGAAGTGAAATGTGATATGTAATGTTATTTTGTAAATGTAAAAGGGGCAATGATAATAAATTAAGTAATATTATCTTATTTTCCGAAAATCTTTTGTTGATTTCAAACTTCGCAATTACACTCTCCAGGACACAGAGTATCATAAATTAATTGTACACGTGTAATTGGCGAATACTATAACATGCATTAATATTTTTATAGAATGATAATCGCTTATAAATAAGCAAAAACAGCCCATGAAAATTAATTATTTCAGATAACAAAACGTGGCCTGATGGCGACGATTCAATATTTTCCCCTTACGGTTTTCAATAATAAAAACAAACTGTATATAGTACACGTATCCACCACGAGAATGGTTCAGATCACAGTTATTTGCACATTACTTGGCGATGCTGAATCTAACTCTACAGTTGAATCAAAAGGTGTTATAAGGTGGTAGTTCTGACACCTGTACAGTTAGATTGCTACGTAGGACTCAAATAACTTTAGATATTTGATATAAGCATTACATAAACGAACTTACTGGTGCTTGCCACCAGGGCAACTTTATCACAGGACGCTGTTGGACACCAATGACATGCCTGTGAACTCTCCAGCCCCCGTTCTTTTTTCCTATTCATCCATTGGTTTGTCAGGTCACATGGCATTAGAATACGGACCAATACGTCACTAACAACTTCTTTACACTCGAATGCCTTGTTGAGAAAGAAAATTATATCAAAGGTAGACACAGATTTGAAATCGAGATATAAATGTAAAATCAACTTTTGATATTAAGATGCATATATGTGTCTTCTTCGGTTCATCTGTTTAAAGGTCACATATCACCAGTTACCTGACAAGGCATGTTGATTGTTCCTTCCCTTATCCTTGTTAGTATGTACCTTCGCCAACAATCAAGGCAGAAATAGTGTTGACAGATTAGTAGAGTACAACCGTCCGCCTGTGGGTCCTCAGATTCGCATAAACATGTTTCACACACCCTTGTTTCTGATGAGATAGGTATCGTGTTGACTAGCCCAAATGACTGCAAGATGTCTTTCTAAGTATAAAGAGAGCAACAAGACTGGGTGATAAACATCGATGTACTAACAATGTCAAACATACACTACACAAAGAGTAATTTCCACATCAACATGCACTGCGTAATAATGTATGTTTAAAAAAATTCAAAAATATCTTATCCGTGAGATAGAAATACAAGCCATAAAGTATGAAAGCGAGGCTGCAAGAAAGCATCATTGTAAATTTCTTATATTTGGCGTCTGATTAATCGCGAATTCGATTTCTTCGCGATGATTTGTGCAACAATACGGACACAGGAGTCTTAAAGAGTCCTGGTCTTTGATAGTTCATCATTAGCGACGTCATTTCTAAATCAGCGTTCGCGAAATCGTATTCGCGAATATGTTGGAACAGGTAAGTTCGTGAAATAAAGTATTCGCGAAATCTGTATTATTTACAGTACTTTAACATTACTGACCTTTCCTGCTCGAAGAGTCCGGTATGCTTCATGTACAGACATGACAGCACAAGGAGGGTTGGCAATTGAAGTGGCAAGATGACCGTACGGTGGGATACCATCTCCATCTCCTTGTCTGTAAGGTCATGGATGCATTTAAGAATGGCGTAATAGATTGACGTTATCATGAGCAATTATTATAAAAACATATTTATTAGGTAATTCAATTAAAAAATGAAATGAGTACCTGTGATGTTCCAAAGTCTGATATATAGCTGCCGCATTCGCTATTTCTACTATGTGGTCAAGTGATGAAGTAGAGCCTTTCTTCTGGGCAAGTTTGGACTTTAAATTATCAGTTTTCATGTCAACAACATTTCCATCAGTTTCGAGCTGCAGTTTTACCCTAGAACGTCCAGCAAAAAGATTCTATAGAGCTTTACTTGTAATAAAATCAATCTCTACAGTTAAGTTATTTTTATCGTTTCTTTTAGCTAGTATTTTCGTTGTTTTTGTCATTAAGGATATTTCCCGATGATCTTTTTAGGATTGATTCCAATAAAATGGTAGCAGAGTTCAAATCACCAAATTTTGCAAGAACAATATTTTGATTTGTTTACTTAACTTTCACAACGACACAACACTATAATCACTGTAAAATACATCCAAGTGTTAGTGTCTGGATGAATGATAATAAACAACAACATATTTTGGAGATAAGTCTGCAAAAATAGTTTACCAATATTCCGCTTGATCAGAACTAGACGACCATCCAGACATTTGCCAAAGTATCACGAGAACATTCATTGCTTCCCCTTTCAGGGTCAAAATGAGTTGCTGAGAAACACAGTTGCTAACTTGTAAGTCCCAATTTGCGCAAGACTCTGCCATGTCTGCCATGTCCTGAACACTCTCCTTATCAATAATACATTTACAAAATTGATCTTCCAAGTCATTTTTACTCAGTGATAGATATGTCGTGTCGATTCCGCCGACAACATTGCTAATGACGTCGTTACCGAAGTCAACAACTGATGACTCTTCATTTTGTTGCAGTTCCTCTTGTTTCCAAACCTTCACTGGGGTATCAATAAATATACAGTTGCCTTTTCTGCTGAGTTGTGCATCGTGGATAATTGATGCACCTTTGTATTGTTTTGTATGGTGAAAGTAACTTGTCTTCCTTTTGATGTCAATAGATTTATGATACCGGTTTCTTTTGAGAGGCCGATTCTGAATAACACAAAAATCACCAAACGTTAGTGTTCGTCGTTGAACAACGAGATTGTCCTCGCTTTGTAACATAGCATCGTCCATGTTTTCTATGGTAATATCAGCGACGTCCGCTTCTAATTCCTTGATGTAATCGAATTCATAGAAACGCTTTTCGACGTGATCAATGCCTTTGAAATGTTGTTGTATCTTGGGTTTGGATCGACATCCTTTCGTTTTCCACCGTTTTATGTTTTTCTCTTTACTCTGCGGAAAATATCCACTGTGACCTGAGGATGTACGAAAGACACACTAGTCAATACCACCTATCAATACAGTACTAATTGGCTTATAGTTCTTTGTTAATTATATGGTAATTTAGTTCATTTTATTTACAACAACATAACATAATACTGCGAGGTATTAAAAAAATAAGATTCATTTTCAGCAGATCTAATTTTACGTCAGATATGATGTGTACGGTTTGTCATACTTTTAGAAGTGTTGAATACTAACAATTGTTTCGCTAGTTACCTCTGTATCCTGGACATTTGCAGTATCTGTCAAAGACGTCAGGGTAGTGGATCTCATAACGAACCTCAGGTACCTTGATGTGGTGATAATTTCCCTCCATCACGCTGAAATACGTTTAATTCAATTGTCAAATAGAAGGCAAACACAGAAAACAAGAACCGTTAACAGAACTTTTGAATTTTGTATAGGTTGACGATTACACACAAAGTTCTGGTGTCAGTCGATATAGACCAAACATAGATCCAATTATTATTCAGGTTGTTGTTACAAATATAAAACGGAAAGAAATGCCAGTATGTAAACAAACTCATAATTCAAAGAGCAAAATACGAATAAAAGAAAGATATACACGGAGACTCTTGAAAAAGTGCAAAGGGAGTAAGACCAGTGGTTCGGGAAGAAGAAGCGTCTTCTGCTTCATCGATGACACCAACCCAGCCAGGTATATCCTGGTCAGTCTAAAATAAGTAATGTAACGTTTCCAAATGAGAGTAAGGTTAAACAAAAACGGAACCAACATATGTACAATGCAGCATCAAACACGTCAAGTTATTACTGAAAATGTTTCGAAACTTATATTCATCAGCTCCGATCATAAATGTTTAAATCATCATAACTTACTCTCTGAAGTAAGTATGATTCCTTCTCCAATAGTGGAAATAGCTCTGTTCTGGCATAGTTGGTTGTATACGCCTCTGTATCCCTCTAGTATGTGTTTTACCAGATCGTTTGGAACTGTCACTTGCCGTATTATCCTCCAATCTTGACACGTGGTGTATCGTGTGACAATTCAGTTTCAGATCAGTTAGGGACGACACTCTACTGTTGGGATACATATGCTGTACTCTGTATTTGCTATCATGGTATGATAACGTACTCGCCTTGACTTCACATTCAGCAGAATAACATGCAAACCGAAACGGGACGGCGGATCGTTCGTGCATCACCAACCTTAAGTCCAAGTTTTCTACTTCCCCATTATCAATAACATCAACAATTGTGTGAGGTAAAGTCCATCTTTTCCTCTTGTTGAGAGAATAAACCTCGCCAACCTTTTCATAATTCAAGTTGTGCTGCAATCCACCATCTGGTAAATATTGTTTCAGTGTACTGCTCACTTCTAATTGATTTCCTTCGTCATGTCCGTTACCAAACATGAATTTATAGATCTTTCCTGTTTCTTTCACATCCCTATTGCGACACAGGTAGCAAAATGTGCTACCTCTGTTGTACCCATATTTGCTTTTCTTTAGTACCATTGTGCTCAGTTTCGTTTTTCGATGATGATCAAATACACCTAAAAGATCAAATACACAGAAATCATTGATGAAACAAAACAAAATTAATAAAAAGAAAATTAATGGATTTTATTCTATTGTATCATCCTATCATAAAAATGAAGTGTGAATGTTTTGGTCTTGATCTGGTTTCGATGATAAATAAACCTTTTTTTTTTCATTAAAATTGTTCGTTATGAAAACTCGATCGTTACATATGATTTCCTCAATCGCCTCCTAGGTTTTAAAATATGGCTCTTTACATAACTGACGAGTCCAAGAAGGACTCATTATCTGGCACGTCTTTATCTGATTCTAAGTTTATATTGAAAGGTGGTGTTATTCAGTTGCTCGTCTTTTGTAGAATCGCCGACATTTTGTTTCCTTGATAATTTGAGACAAAACATATTTTGTTTTATCGTGAAAATGCTATGATTTTAATATATCTAGAATATATCCTTTCCAACTTATTGGTATTCCAAATTAAGACACACAACATAAACGTTATATTTTCCTTTAACAACAGAAAATCCGCTTTGATTTCTATTGTAGTAGACCGATCTCTCAAGTTTTAATATTCTAGATAAGACAATAACTTGTTAAATGTCAACACGTTTTAGGGGAAAAAATATGGTTCTTTAATCTTGGGAATGATAGTGAAATAATTATTGAAATTCAATTTTCATGGATTTAAAAAACCTATTTCCTGGACATTTCATTTCGTGGATAAACATATTTCAAGAAGTGTATTTATACTAATTATCTCCGTTCGTGGATACGTCAATTTCTTGATTAAGAGTACCCACAAAGTGAACCACAAAAAATCCACGAAAATGAATGATATCGCAGTATGCTATTTAAATCATTCCAATTCTCCCTTCCGGTCTTTACAGATGTATTAACAAATCTTTTTTTACCTGTTGGTAACAGTGCTATGTGTATTTATACATGTAGTGCCTACTAGTGTTGTTATCATTGTGTGTCTGATATGTAGTATTTGTGTATATATAATTTTAAAAATACAACCAACGCGTTAGTTCGCTGACGTTTTCAGGCCTATATAGAATATATGTCAATATATTTCTTAATACGTGTATATAAGATTTTTACAACATTTACTTCTTACATCATATACTGACATAAGTAAATCTACACCTGTGTTAATGAATAGTTTCATGTTCAAAGAAGTAATTAATATGATATGAAATATCTACAGAAAAACATCCCAAAATCTTTTTGTTTTTACACTAAATAATATTGAAGAAATATCAGTGGATATGTGATAAACAGAATTCGTTCCCTAGGTGAGTTTATGCATGGCGTTCACAGAAAGCCGTCTGATAGATCAATATAGCGTGTGTGCTATTTTTGTGTAATATGGTACGTGTCTCTGTGTATGTTTATATACGTAATGAACTTCATTTACTTCCATATACTACACACATTTACATACATCGGCTAACGATGCACTTACCTGTATCTTTGTAATGCTGTTAAACATCTATGATATGCTTGAACAAGTCATACTTACTTACAAGGTTTTGTTTACAATTGATTGTGCAATCCCCCTGTTTACAACACGTGATATTTAGGCGGTAAATTACGAATCCCTACGTTTGAGATAATATCGGCACAATGCTAGCTGTTACGGTGGTTTATCGTGTTATCAAGGAATACACAGTCATATCATTTATATAAAATTTCTCTAATACTTGAAAGTTGTTAAAACCCAGGAGGCGACTGAGGAAAGTCCTTATAACTCGAGATATTACGTCAAAATGTCACATAAATAACATTGTTTACAGATCGTTATTTTCATTACTGAATGAACTGTGCCAATATTGGATAATAAAACAATAACACGTGGCTGGATAACTCTATAATCAATGTAATCTGTGCTTTGAATTGTGATTACATAGACAGATGTAGGCGAAATACACCAATCGTGTACGGCAACGGAGGGGAAATGTACAGATATGTAGTCACACGTAGACATGTGAGATAGTATCACTGCATGATTTACTTCTCGTCGCCCTAGAATCAAAATGTTCTAAGTCCACTTTTTGAAAAAAAAAGACTTATTGGTACTGTTGGATTCGGAATTTAATGTTCTATCTCCCTATATCATTCATGTTTAGCAACTGTCGTTGATTTTTAAAATATTTGCAATGCAATTTTGTTCCATCCAAGCACTTTTCTTTAGAGTAGAAACGTTCTAAATCCATCCACCAATCGGTATTGGCCATATGAGTCACGTGGTATATGATGGTGCAATGGATGCAGAGAAAACTATGCTGAGGAGGTAGGTGCATTTGCATGCCAAATATCACTGGTTTGTTTCATTTAAGAATCCTATTTTTTGTTTTAAGCATAGGCTAAATATTTGTTAATGATAATTGATATAATTTAGAAGGTAGTCACTGCTTTTACAGAGAAATAAGAACAGTTTTGTTTTGATTAGGAATTAGAACATTTTGGCTCTGGAATATTTTCTTTTTCCATAGCGTAAGAACATTATGTCTCTAAAGACCCCTTACTACTGAATGCTTCTGAACGGATTTAGAGCATTATTGTCCGATATTGATAGATACATACGCGTAAAGCCAATAATTAAGTCAAATACATCCGAAAGTATCTTAAAACGTGATTAACAAATATATTGTTTTATTTCAGTTCACCTGCATCATCACTACTGAAATTCTCAAATATTTGACTTCCCTCATCTTTTGCAACTTTCATTGCCAGATACTGTTAGTAAGGGATTGTTTCACATGCAGATCGAAAGCAAATACGAACATAGCAAATTAAAAATACACTAGTCAAAATGAGTCTTATGAATACCACAAGCACTGTTGTTGCTAGATACCCTTTGTAAAGCCGATACCATTGGAAGTAGCACCGAAACAGTGGTGGAACCCATCATTTCGTTTTCGCTTGATTCTATACAAACAACTTTGAATGAGACAAACGGCATATTGGAATCGAACAATGATATCCCCATGAACATTGCCACGCATACTCTTTTCGAAAACGCGCCACATGGAATTACTGGAGATTCTGTACTATCTCAATCGATTCAAAGATCGTCAGACAAATCTTCGGTCCCGGAACATGGTACTTCTTCCATGAATATAATCTGCAACAGGCTGTCTGAACAGAGGAATCAAGATGATGTCTTTATGGTCACAAATGAAGGTTCTATTGTCGATAATGATACATTGAATAATGTTTCAACGGAAGAAGAAATTCCTGTAACCACAAATGGCACAAACGATGCCACAACTACCCAAGACGAGACACAACAGAATGAAACAATTAAACATGTTCTTAGATCCAGTAGGAAAAGAAAAAGGGACCCGGAGAATTGGAAACGAAATATACGAAAGAGACGGTGTGAACATGGACAGGAATACATTAACAGCAAGGGAATTAAGAAACCAGAACGCAAAATTAAGACAACAAAAGACTGTGAAGGAAAATGTAAATTTAGATGTTCTATGAATATTACAGCAAATGAAAGACGTGTATTTCAGGGAATTCTGGGATCTATCCTATGCAGAAAAAACGTTTTCTGTTCAAGGACAACAGAGAAAAACGCAAAGGAACGGACAAGATCAAAAACAAATACAACAAGAAGAAATTTCAGCTACAGGTATTATCTGGAAAGGAGATAAGAGAATCCGTGTCTGTAAAGAATTTTATTTGGCTACACTTGATGTAAGTCAAAGAAGAATAGAGTGGTTCTATAAAAACGTAGAGGGAAAAACATACAACGATAAACGAGGAACGCGTACAGAATCAAGAATACCAAAGGAAGATTTGACGTACGTAAAGGAACACATTAATTCATTTCTCAGAATTCCAGGTCACTACTGCCGTCAGTCATCACAGAAAGAGTATTTTGAAGCAGATCTCAACCTTTCGAAAATGTATCGCCTGTATCAAGCAAAATGTGAAAGTGAAGGCCTTTACCGACACATTTTCAATAATGACTTCAATAAAGGTTTCTAGGATAGATGTGATATTTGCGAGGAATTCAAAGCCCGAGGCAACAACAATCAAACAGATGACAACTTGCGTGCCAAATATGAAAATCATTTTGACGACAAAATGAACACAAAAAGGAAAGAGACAACGATAGACTAGACAAACAAAAACTTGTTATTTGTTTTGATATGCAAAATGTAATGACACGTCCAAGGTCAAATGTGTCTAACTTCTTCTACAAAAGAAAACTAAATGTTTTCAATTTGACAGTGCACTGTTCACTGAACAGAAAAAATTACAATGCGATGTGGCATGAAGGGATCGCAGGGAGAGGAGGCAATGAAATAGCCAGTGCTTTAGTTGCTATTCTGGATGTAATTTGTGTAGAGTATAGTAATGTCAACCATATACCACTTTGGTCAGATTCCTGTGTGCCCCAAAACCGCAATTCAATTATGTGTTTTGCATTGAAACGTTTCCTTTTTGATCATGCAAACATCGAAACAATTGAACAAAAATTTGGCACACCAGGTCATTCTCCAATACAGGAAGTGGACAATGTCCATAGTCACCTAGAAAAGGGTCTTAAAAATGCAGAAATGTTTTGACAAAGATTAGGCCAACATTCTCCAAATTCATACAGTTACGAGCTGATCATTTCTACAATTACCACAAGAGCACAAATTGCCTCAATTTCTCAGCCATTCCATTCACAAAGCTAAAGGCATTAAAACTCTCTAGGAGGCCGTTCCATGTGGAATGCAAAACGTCATTTACCGAGGCATTCATTGAAAAGGATATCACAGCAAAAGCAACCAGGGGTAGAAAAAGGAGTTTGGTACGGCAACTACCAGAGGTTGTTAGGTTGGGCAATAAAACTGTACTTTCAAATGAGAAAAAAGCAGACCTCAAAAGTATGTTGCGATATATGCCAGAACAAGACAAGACTTTCATGAAAGTTCTTATCGAAAATGTCTAAATACAATTATCCAAATTTGCAAACTTATAAACATGATGCGTTCTGCCAATTCATTAGACAGTTGGCGTGTATTACTGCAACGAAGGAAGATGCAATGAAGGAAAACAATAATTTCCAAATATTTTGAAACTTTGTTTGCAATTATTAATATGATGATATATCTTTTTAATATATATATGCAAGTAGCATACATTTACATATTTCTACAATGTCATTTTGTTTTATAATTTCGTTTTTATATTTCATCTTTACACAAAAATTAAGAGTCCATTAATGATGTCCAAAAATGTGTATTAATACAATTTGTAATACATGTGTAATCATTTTTATATTTTTATTTACACAACAAAATGCAAATAGCATTTGTTTTTTATTGTTAAAATTACAGTGTGTATTAATTATTTAATAAAACTCGTTCCGAAAAATAAGCGTAATTAATTGTATTTTAGAAAACTGAGTGTTGTGTAGTATATATTGAATTAACTAAAACTACGACACTTAGGTGTGTGAAAGGAAAACAACTGTCCGTCATCTATAATAGAGAAATCGTTATAATCAATCAAACTTGACAAAATCATGTAAACATTGTCAAGTTTGAGACAGCACGGACACTCGAACAATTAAAGAATGACGATTGGTTCCCAGAAAAAAAACTCGTCCTGTTGTGGTCATGCATCCGCCGTGCAGTCTCAAAAACTCAACCACTTAACACTTAACATTTCTGTTCTATGTCGTAGTATACAAGAATTCCTAATGTGCGATTTAGTAACAAACTGTTGTATGTCCAAGCACATTTTGATTCTAAAATATTTTGAAAAAATTCAGAACTTAAATGTTCTATCTCCAAATTGAAATGTTTATTTTACCACGTTTAAATTGTTTTCAGACATCCAAATGATACAATTAATCATTTTTTATTAAAAATGAGCATATACGTAAAGGTAAAACAATGGCTCTAAAAACAATACATGATCACATGTCCTGAATATTCAACTTTGATTTTCTCGAAACAGAGTTGTGGGTCTTTAGAACACTTTACATTGTCACTAAAATCACGTGATTTACATCATTGTCACTTGACTATGTAACACGCCGACTCTCACACAGGTAAGTAGAAAAGAGCTGCGGCTTTGTAGAGTACGTCACTCTGTTGTATGTTGTACATCTATCTATATATAGTGTTATCAGGATGTAGTGGCCAAGTGAATTGTCGTAATTGATGATTCTGTATATATCTATATGTGTAAATCTAGACTTCATCCCATGCCGTTTACTCTGATAACGATATCGTCTCAGCTATAACACATAGGCCTACATGTAGAGTGTGTTCAGACATTAACACATGCAACAAAGCGTGAACTATTCAAAACATTCTTACTGCGATTTGGTCATGCAGTATGATTTCAAAGGGTAGGTTATATTTGTATAAACCTGATTATTGTTTTAGGATACCTTCTGTATAGCTAGATGTGTAATGTAACGAGACCGATATCTCTCAACCAGGCATGTACCTACATTGTACATGTCTCTCAACCAGGCATGTACCTACATTGTACATGTTTCTCAACTAGGCATGTACCTACATTGTACATGTCTCTCAACACGATATTTACCTACATTGTACATGTCTCTCAACACGATATTTACCTACATTGTACATGTCTCTCAACACGATATTTACCTACATTGTACATGTCTCTCAACACGATATTTACCTACATTGTACATGTCTCTCAACACGATATTTACCTACATTGTACATGTCTCTCAACACGATATTTACCTACATTGTACATGTCTCTCAACACGATATTTACCTACATTGTACATGTCTCCCACACGATATTTACCTACATTGTACATGTCTCTCAACACGATATTTACCTACATTGTACATGTCTCTCAACACGATATTTACCTACATTGTACATGTCTCTCAACAATTATGTACCTACGTTGTACATGTCTCTCAACCAGGCATGTACCTACATTGTACATGTCTCTCAACACGATATGTACCTACAGTGTACATGTCTCTCAACCAGGCATGTACCAACATTGTACATGTCTCTCAACACGATATTTACCTACATTGTACATGCCTCTCAACCAGGCATGTATCTACATTGTACATGTCTCTCAACCAGGCATGTACCTACATTGTACATGTCTCTCAACACGATATGTACCTACATTGTACATGCCTCTCAACCAGGCATGTATCTACATTGTACATGTCTCTCAACCAGGCATGTACATATATTGTATATGTCTCCCACCCATGCATGTTCCTACATTGTACATGTCTCTCAACCAGGCTTGTACCTACATTGTACATGTCTCTCAACCAGGCATGTAATTACATTGTACATGTTTCTCAACAATAATGTACCTACATTGTACATGTCTCTCAACTAGGCATGTACCTACATTGTACATATCCCTCAACACGATATGTACGTACATTGTACATGTCTCTCAACCAGGCATGTACATGCATTGTATATGTCTCCCACCCATGCATGTTCCTACATTGTATATGTCTCTCAAGCAGGCATGTGCCTACATTGTATATGTCTCTCAACCAGGCATTTACCTACATTGTACATGTCTCTCAACACGATATGTACCTACACTGTACATGTCTCTCAACAATTATGTACCTACATTGTACATGTATCTCAACCAGGCATGTACCTACATTGTACATGCCTCTCAACAAGGCATGTACTTACATTGTACATGTCCCTCAACACGATATGTACGTACATTGTACATTTCTCTCAACCAGGCATGTTCCTATGTTGTATATGTCTCTCAACCAGGCATGTGCCTATATTGTACATATCTCTCAACCAGGCATTTACCTACATTGTACATGTCTCTCAACAGGCATGTACCTACATTGTATATGTCTCTCAACCAGATATGTACCTAAATTGTATATGTCTCTCAACCAGATATGTACCTACATTGAACATGTCTCTCAACCAGGTATGTACCTACATTGAACACGTCTCCTAACCAGATATGTATCTACATTGTACATTTCTCTTATCCAGATATGTACCTACATTGAACACGTCTCCTAACCAGATATGTACCTACATTGAACACGTCTCCTAACCAGATATGTACCTACATTGTACATGTCTTTCAACCAGATATGTACCAACATTGTACATGTCTCTGAAATGGATTGTTGAATTGTGTACACTCATATCGGACAAATATTAAAACGAAATGATAAAAAGAGAAGACGAAAACGGACGTTAGTATATAATCGTCCAACACCACATCAAATCTACCATTTTCTCTCCGGTACAGAGGATATACTTGAGACAGTCGAGTAATCTGCTTTTGTGTCATTGTATTTCCAGTCATCGAAATGATTACCCCGCTGGTTATTCTGCTCGCCTTAGGAACAATATATGGACTAGACAACGGTCTTGCCAGGACGCCTCCTATGGGTTGGTTGTCATGGCAACGGTTTCGCTGCAATACAGATTGTGAAAACGATCCAGAAAATTGTATCAGGTAAAAATTATTCAAACAGACGAACGCTCTCAATGTGTTCATTTCTTGGTAAATGTATTACATATTTCCGCCCCAACCTGCAATAAAATACACCAGTAAGATTATGTTATTTTCCGTCTCGTGCCATAAAATACACCAGTAAGATTATGTTATTTTCCGTCTCAGCATGCCATAAAATACACCAGTAAGATTATGTGATTTTCCGTCTCAGCATGCCATGAAATACACCAGTAAGATTATGTTATTTTCCGTCTCAGCATGCCATAAAATACACCAGTAAGATTATGTGATTTTCCGTCTCAGCATGCCATAAAATACACCAGTAAGATTATGTTATTTTCCGTCTCAGCATGCCATGAAATACACCAGTAAGATTATGTTATTTTCCGTCTCAGCATGCCATAAAATACACCAGTAAGATTATGTTATTTTCCGTCTCAGCATGCCATAAAATACACCAGTAAGATTATGTTATTTTCCGTCTCAGCATGCCATAAAATACACCAGTAAGATTATGTTATTTTCCGTCTCAGCATGCCATAAAATACACCAGTAAGATTATGTGATTTTCCGTCTCAGCATGCCATAAAATACACCAGTAAGATTATGTTATTTTCCGTCTCAGCATGCCATAAAATACACCAGTAAGATTATGTTATTTTCCGTCTCGTGCCATAAAGTTTATTTCTATACTCTGCTCTTCTTTCTTATCAATGTTGTTTACAGTATCTTTTTCACAACACAATGAATATGGTAATGCCATATAAAAATATTTCATTTATCAAAGTTGATTTAACATTTGATCCTAAGCCAAGTATTATTATGTTTGTTCAATAGTGAGCAGCTTTACAAGGAAATGGCCGACAGACTTGTTGCCGACGGGTACGCGGCCCTAGGTTATCAATACATCAATATTGACGACTGTTGGTTAGCTAAGGAACGTGATGCTGAAGGTCGTCTGCAGGCTGACCCACACAGATTTCCGAGTGGAATAAAGGCTCTTGCCGACTATGTAGGTGTATATGGAAGTAATTTTGTCTTACATATGTAAATTAACTATTTAAGTCTAAGAATAAGACGCCTGCTATACTGGAGGCCTACAACGCCACAGCTACACTGTAGTCTGGTGACTTGAATTTCATATTTAATGTTATATAATATCACCGTCACCGGAATTCAGAATTTAATATTCAAGTTTTAATGTTGGCAAATATTTCAATATCTTGAAAACATTCCATGGTGCATACATTTATATCTTCATCTGTTGTAAAAAAAAAAGTATTATTTCAGGAACTTTGAAAAAACAAATGTTTTTAAAATAGTAACGTGCTTTCATTTTGTCTAGAATTAAAATTACAGTACATATAGTTCATTCTTTAATAATCCCCTTTACATCTTTAATTCTTATTCTGTCAGCTGGTTTCAAAAAAAAAAAAACAGAAAAAACAGAAGTCATGAAAAGGACTCGGGTTTTTCCCGTCTCTTTCTACAATAAATCAGGGGAAGTAGAGCTGCTTGAAAATTAAGACTTTTCCAGTAGGTTATGCATGTATATGTCTGTATCAGTATGAAATGCAGTAGAATGTGATGTATTTAAAATCAGTGCCTTGATGTCATCTAGCATCCACGGTTTATTCACTGGTAAATGAAAACAGTGGAGAAGAACATGACAAGAAATACTATATATTACTTCAGATGCATAATAAGTCGCTGAAACTTGGAATCTACGAGGATTTTGGGATAAAAACATGCGCTGGATTCCCAGGAAGTGAGTTCTATATGCAGTTAGATGCAGATACTTTTGCCTCGTGGGGCGTGGATAGTCTAAAGTTTGACGGTTGTAATTCAGCAAGATCGGACGTCCCTATAGGTGGGTCATAACACGTAACACATCACAGTTATACGTCACTATAAGCAAGTCGTACCACGTAGCTTCTCACGATCATACGTCACTATAGGTAAGTCGTACCACGCAGCTTCTCAGGATCATACGTCACTACAGGAATCACCTCGTAGCCTCTCACGATCATACGTCACTACAGGTAAGTCGTACCACGTAGTTTTTCACGATCACACGTCACTATAGGTAGCACCACGTAGCTTCTCACGATCATACGTCACTATAGGTAAGTCGTACCACGTAGCTTCTCACGATCATACGTCACTACAGGTAAGTCGTACCACGTAGCTTCTTACGATCATACGTCACTATAGGTAAGTCGTACCGCGTAGCTTCTCACGATCATACGTCACTATAGGTAAGTCGTACCATGTAGCTTCTCACGATCATACGTCACTACAGGTAGCACCACGTAGCTTCTCACGATCATACGTCACTACAGGTAAGTCGTACCATGTAGCTTCTCACGATCATACGTCACTACAGGTAGCACCACGTAGCTTCTCACGATCATACGTCACTATAGGTAAGTCGTACCATGTAGCCTCTCACGATCATACGTCACTACAGGTAAGTCGTACCATGTAGCTTCTCACGATCATACGTCACTACAGGTAAGTCGTACCATGTAGCTTCTCACGATCATACGTCACTACAGGTAAGTCGTACCACGTAGCTTCTCACGATCATACGTCACTACAGGTAGCACCACGTAGCTTCTCACGATCATACGTCACTACAGGTAAGTCGTACCATGTAGCCTCTCACGATCATACGTCACTACAGGTAAGTCGTACCATGTAGCTTCTCACGATCATACGTCACTACAGGTAAGTCGTACCATGTAGCTTCTCACGATCACACGTCACTATAGGTAGCATCACGTAGCTTTTCACGATCATACGTCACTATAGGTAAGTCGTACCACGTAGCTTCTCACGATCATACGTCACTACAGGTAAGTCGTACCACGTAGCTTCTCACGATCATACGTCACTATAGGTAAGTCGTACCATGTAGCTTCTCACGATCATACGTCACTATAGGTAAGTCGTACCATGTAGCTTCTCACGATCATACGTCACTACAGGTAGCACCACGTAGCTTCTCACGATCATACGTCACTACAGGTAAGTCGTACCATGTAGCTTCTCACGATCATACGTCACTACAGGTAGCACCACGTAGCTTCTCACGATCATACGTCACTACAGGTAAGTCGTACCATGTAGCCTCTCACGATCATACGTCACTATAGGTAAGTCGTACCATGTAGCTTCTCACGATCATACGTCACTACAGGTAAGTCGTACCATGTAGCTTCTCACGATCATACGTCACTACAGGTAAGTCGCACCACGTAGCTTCTCACGATCATACGTCACTACAGGTAGCACCACGTAGCTTCTCACGATCATACGTCACTACAGGTAAGTCGTACCATGTAGCCTCTCACGATCATACGTCACTACAGGTAAGTCGTACCATGTAGCTTCTCACGATCATACGTCACTACAGGTACGTCGTACCATGTAGCTTCTCACGACCATACGTCACTACAGGTAAGTCGTACCACGTAGCTTCTCACGATCATACGTCACTACAGGTAAGTCGTACCATGTAGCTTCTCACGATCATACGTCACTACAGGTAAGTCGTACCACGTAGCTTCTCACGATCATACGTCACTACAGGTAAGTCGTACCACGTAGCTTCTCACGATCATACGTCACTACAGGTAAGTCGTACCATGTAGCTTCTCACGATCATACGTCACTACAGGTAAGTCGTACAATGTAGCTTCTCACGATCATACGTCACTACAGGTAAGTCGTACCATGTAGCTTCTCACGATCATACGTCACTATAGGTAAGTCGTACCACGTAGCTTCTCACGATCATACGTCACTATAGGTAAGTCGTACCACGTAGCTTCTCACGATCATACGTCATTACAGGTAAGTCGTACCACGTAGCTTCTCACGATCATACGTCACTATAGGTAAGTCGTACCGCGTAGCTTCTCACGATCATACGTCACTATAGGTAAGTCGTACCACGTAGCTTCTCACGATCATACGTCACTATAGGTAAGTCGTACCACGTAGCTTCTCACGATCATACGTCACTATAGGTAAGTCGTACCACGTAGCTTCTCACGATCATACGTCACTATAGGTAAGTCGTACCACGTAGCTTCTCACGATCATACGTCACTATAGGTAAGTCGTACCATGTAGCTTCTCACGATCATACGTCACTATAGGTAAGTCGTACCACGTAGCTTCTCACGATCATACGTCACTATAGGTAAGTCTATAGGTAAGTCGTACCACGTAGCTTCTCACGATCATACGTCACTACAGGTAAGTCGTACCATGTAGCTTCTCACGATCATACGTCACTATAGGTAAGTCGTACCATGTAGCTTCTCACGATCATACGTCACTACAGGTAAGTCGTACCATGTAGCTTCTCACGATCATACGTCACTACAGGTAAGTCGTACCATGTAGCTTCTCACGATCATACGTCACTACAGGTAAGTCGTACCACGTAGCTTCTCACGATCATACGTCCCCAATAGGTTGGTTATGCTACGTAACTCATCGCTATCATACGGCCCTATAGGTAGGCCATTCTACTTAACTCACCACGATCATAAGTCGCTAAAGGTATACCATTCCACACAACTAAAATACAATTTAGCGAGTATCATTAGAATGATCGTTCCTCACTCACTTGCTCCATATTTCCCTGTGGTGCCTTTTGTCTTTTTGCCTTGATCTCATTTCGGAACATTATACTACTTACTAGGATTGACCCATCCTTTATACTCCAGAAGTTACAATCACGTTCGCTATCTACACTCCTGGAACCACCCTCCTCACTCCAGGGGTTACAATCACTTTCGCTCTCTGTACCCCTGGAACCATCCTCGATACTCCAGGGGTTACTGTCACGTTCGCTCTCTGTAACCCTGGAACCATCCTCGATACTCCAGGAGTTACAATCACTTTCGCTCTCTGTACCCCTGGAACCATCCTCGATACTCCAGGGGTTACTGTCACGTTCGCTCTCTGTACCCCTGGAACCATCCTCGATACTCCAGGGGTTACTGTCACGTTCGCTCTCTGTAACCCTGGAACCATCCTCGATACTCCAGGAGTTACAATCACTTTCGCTCTCTGTACCCCTGGAACCATCCTCGATACTCCAGGAGTTACAATCACTTTCGCTCTCTGTACCCCTGGAACCATCCTCGATACTCCAGGAGTTACAATCACTTTCGCTCTCTGTACCCCTGGAACCATCCTCGATACTCCAGGAGTTACAATCACTTTCGCTCACTGCATCCTTGAAACATGTCGTGGCAAAATTGAAGGCGCCAGTGAAGTAATTTGATTAATTCTTAGAGAAAAAAAACCTGACTAGTCACGTGGTTATACGCTCCTTTCGAAAATTACAGGAGTGACACCGAACATCAAAGTCATTACAATATACCGTTATGCGACCTCGAGATTCGTTTGTCGTACGAAAGATCAACAAGTCTTTTCTTCTTGTCCACAAGATGGCGCACACGGAACCTTCAGTTTTGCCACTACATGTTCCAGGGGTGTAGAGAGCGAAAGTGATCGTAATACCTGGAATACAGAGAATGGGACGGACCAAGATTTACAAGGCGTGTGTCGTCAATAAATCAGGAGCCGCTTTCTCTTCCGGAACATCTGGTCTTATTTCCTTGTATTTTTAGTAATCCCCCTACATATTAGTATTTACATGTCGGTTTCTTGTTTGTCACAAGAACAAAAATATTAATAAGTATTCTGTTCAGTTATTTGATCCTTTAGGAAATTCTCTTGTAGTTATATATATAAATCACTTACTGTCGAACTTTTAAAATCCTGGTTGGTATCCAGACTAATTTATAGTCGATAACTAATGTTATAGGACTTTAACATAAATACTTTTATGTAATATTGATATTCTTGTATATTCTCTGCAAAGTCGGTTTGTGAGTTCCTGGAAAGCCGAAAATCACAATTAGACCTGTGATGTCACGATCACATGACCTACACAAAGGTTTGTTTATGGTGTAGGCATTAAATAATCTAAATCACTCTCGGACATTTCATTGTGGTCATCTGTTCATTTTCGAATTTTCACAGGTTATCCAATAATGCGGAAGTTCCTTAACTTGACCGGAAGGCCAATTTTGTATACGTGTGAGTGGCCATTACAACTTCAGCATGTAAGCACATCTCATGGTAAACACGAATCACAAGACAAGGATAACAGAATCAATCGTCTTTTTCAAATTAAGGCGATTTATTATCTTTTTTCATTGATAAACATTATTAACGTTTATCCTCGCATTAATGCAGTTCTGTGGAATGTGAAATTCACGTAAATATATTTCATACCTTCGTTTATTACATTAAGAGATGACATCTACCTAAGTGACTTTTTGAAATCAGTTGTGTTAACAGATGTTATTCCATTGATTGAAATGATACATTAGTAGGCAATTTTTTAGAACCGTTTTAAAATTTTCTTCTTTGAATGTGAATATGAATATGAATGTGTCAAAATATATAGAGTGATCATATGATATTGTTTTGTGTGCTTTCACATTCATCATTGAATTCTTTATGATCTACAGCCTGACTACGAGGCAGTCGCCGAGAACTGTAACGTCTTCAGGAATTACGATGACATCCAAGACTCGTGGGACAGCATCACATCAACAATCAAGTTTTACGGTGACGATAAGTACAACTTCAGTGGTGTCGCCGGACCCGGGAACTTTAATGACCCCGACGAGGTCAGGTGTTTCGTGATCTTATTCCATTTTCAAAATATTGAAAATAAGAATTTCAAAGCTATTAACATGTAAACTATATGATTATGTTTGGATAGAGAATATAAGTTCTATAAGATATTACTTTTGTGTTTCCCGTTGTAAGTATTAAGCTTTTTATCACTGACACACTGTGAAATTCTATTTGTTGCTATGGTTATGATGTATTGTGATAACAGCTGTATATGCACGTTTCTGTACCACTGATTTTATATCGAAGGTCGTGAGGCCGTATCCGCGAAAGGAAACGTTTTAACTTGGCCGTTGTCTACCATTTTGATATTGCTTACTCATAAACAAATTGTTTGTTGGTCGAAAAGTAAATGCTATATAATATTTAATCTGTCCCTAAAGGTAACGGAAACATTGATTGTCAAAGAGAAAAGGTCAAGAGAAATAACAAATAATGCTGTCAAACGTAGGGATCAGCGCTATAACAGTGGACCTGTAGGCCTACCAGTTCCATTGTGTGTAATGGCTAAATTTAGATCACGTAATTTGCATCTTAATTGTGTTACTTCTAATTATTCGTAGGTGTGCACGTGTACAATAATAATTGCGCAATGTTAATATCATTCTTGAACGACCAAGTATATCAGATTTCATAACATGTTACCAAGTCCACAATTCTTTGCCACAGCTTGTCATTGGAGATTTTGGGTTGAGTGTGTATCAAGAACGGGTTCAGATGGCCATGTGGGCAATGTTCGCTGCGCCTCTCTTCATGTCGAACGACCTCAGGAATATCCGACCGGAATCAAAAGCCTTGCTGCAAAACAAGGGCGTCATCTCAGTTAACCAAGACCCCCTGGGCATTCAGGGCAGACTAGTCTTCTCGGTTGGTTAGCTTTTCTGACAACTGGTATTTCTACGATTATCTCATGATTACTAATAATTAGGTTTCTGCATATAATGACTGGGTCACGTTTAGGTCACGTTTAAGTCACGTGTATATATTTTTCTCGTAATTAGGATTCTTTGTCTTGTAAAAATTAATGATAATTAATGTCTTGATTTGTTGTATTACGTAATCTGATTTATGACTTATTGCAGACGGGAACTATTCAAGTATGGATTAAACCAATGGCACCAATAGGAAACAGGTCTGCGTTTGCATTACTGAATCTTGCCAACGGTGGTTCAGTATCTAAGGTAAGATACCAAGTTTATTTGTACCTCTCCTTTAAACAAATGCCTTATGTCTATCAGTTTGTAATTTGATTTGTAGAGGATATTTCGATATAGTTATTTCACGAGCTAGACAGAATATCTATATTATTCTAGAAGTACATGTATTGGTCTTGTCTGTACATACTCTCATACATTAGTAAAGGGATGTAACTCTCTCTGCCTAGCGACCGACCAAATGTCGGGGGAAAACTTGTGGATATCACTAAATTGTTCAAAATATCTCGCTCAGAGTTGTCTTAATTGACAGATAAATATTTTTTCTTTGATATGGCATATTATTCACTACATATGATGACCTAAACCTGTCGCCAGACTTCATCAAACATCGTTAAATTGTCAGATATCAGTTAGTCATACACTCACCTTTCAGCAAAATCAGACATTTCATCGTATAAATAAGCTTTTAAATTATATTTAAATGCAGTGTTAAGAGCGATGATTTAAACTTTAATTTAAGATTTAATGTTAAACATCACAGCTCAGGTTTTAAACTCCCGGTACTCAATCTCAAAGTTTTGACTCATGAAAACGGAAATGGTCTTAAATGTTTATAAGCAATCGTTGATTGTTCCAAATTTTCGAGAACTCGGCGTTGATTGGCCCGTTCAATTTAGAACACCAATTTGCATGTTCTCAAGCCAAAATGGTGGCCTTTTATTAGACAATAATATGACCAAAACCGAGGAAGTTACCATAGTAACTGTATCAATACAATGGTTCGTTGACAGGTTTCAGTGAAAGGAGCTCGGCTGGGTTTACTGGACAGTCGGGGTTACAACATCACTGACGCGTTCACAGGAGACTTTGTAGCCGCAGTAAAGCCAAACACAGGTCTTACGGTCAAAGTAAATCCTTCTGACGTATTCCTCGGAATAGCCAATCTACTGGTATAATGATTGCCAATGAATATATTTTCTGACATGTCCTTAGCCATTTAATTATTCAATCTCGTTGGATTTTAACTGTGGGAATGCAACAAAAGCAAGCTTTTCAATTGTTAAACTTAACTTAGATGTATGCTGAATGTTGACGTATTTGGCAAGCAGTTTGCAAACGTTCTATGAATTTATAGCTACAACTTTCTAAATGGTGACAAGAAGTTGTGATTTCCTGTATTTCGAGATAAATTACATGTAGATTTGCTGATATATCACTTAGAGAAAATAGATGTACTTTCCTGATTTTTGTCAGTGAGGAAGTACTGTTTCTCTTCATTATCTTAATGTGTTTCTTTTTTTAAAGCGGGTCAACAAATTACAGTAAACCTCGGATAAGTCGAAGTCGATGGGACCAAATAAAATATTCGACTTATCCGATGTCTATCGCCTGTAATCGAGACATCGTATATTTAAACTGACCCTATTTTCGCCGATCGTGTCTGATAGCAACGTATTAATGAAAAGAACAAGACAACATCTCTATTTTATAATAACAATTCTTTTTTATCAAAATACAAATAAATTGACACTTCCACTCAAATGTTGACATTTTCACTCAAATAAAACAACAACTCACGGGCAAAAAGTAAACATGAGATGTTTTATTTCAATGTATACAAAATCAGCTTATATTTCATATTTTTCACGTTGTGCTTGGATCTCGAATTCTAACAAGATAGATTAGTGTATCATTCCATACCTGTTTTCTTTTTATTTCTTTTTTCATTATTTTTGTTGTACTGCATCTATAAGACATTTGTCGAAACTGTTCGATTTAAATTCATATTTTTGATGTAAAATATTGTCGATGCTTATTTTCTACCTCGTTCTCTAGTGAATGGCGTTTCGCTGTATAACTGTTTTATTGTACAGTCTAAGAACCGTTCCATCCATCTTGCGTTTCGTTGACAAGTATATGATCTGTAACGTTTGTGTGTTCTATAGGTTAGAGCGTATCTCAATTTTATACTATTAATGATATTATTTATCTATTGTCGTATGCAGTTGTCCTGGATTAATTAAATTTTGTTTTCCTTCTATGTTTGATATCTACACAATAAACAAAAATAAAAAATAATGGATTAAAACTTTGTATTCTCTTGTTTTTGTTTTATACGGTGCTTGCATCGACCTGCAAATCTTACATTTCGCAATGAAATCATGAAACACTGTATCATATTGTCTGCGGGCGACATCACATAAATTGTGAAATTTGGAATAATCGTATCTTGTGGAAGCAGTCGTGTTTCTAGCGAGAAATGGGAAAAATTAATATAGAAAATTAAATAATTTGCTTATCATAGTTTGATGATATGTAATTCCTTGAAGACGTGAAATAGGTTGATGTACAAGAATCAGCTAAGTATCATTGATCTTCAGATTCCAAGATACGTAGATATATCTGTAACCCAAGTAAATATACCGGCCGCAATACGCTGCTCGGGGTCCTAGGTTCGATTCCTAGCGGAGGCATTCGAAATGATCATTAGTTTGGTTACATTAGAGCCCATTTAGTGAATCGGGAAAAATACTTCGTGGAAGACAATCAAAGGCATCGCTGTTACCCCTGGAATCTCGGATTTATTCCCTGGAAGGGAAGTGTAGCCCTGTAAACATCTAATTAATGTGGCAGAGGGTTTTATATAAGTTCAATCCCCACTCCCTTTGTTTCAATAAGGTTTGTTTAAAGAAAAGAAAATGCCGATGTTTGCTTCATCGCTTGAGCGTTAGTAAGTCAGAGGTCCCGGGTTCGATCCCTAGCCGAGGAAATGAAATGAAAAAAGAAGATCGCTGGTACATATCTGTGATCAAAATTAATTTTCACGCAAAGACAAAATAAACAACAGACTCGGGAAAGAAATAACCAATTAGCAGATTACATAGATGATTAAGTTTAGAGTTGCTTCCCTTCGTCATGTTATCAATGATTGATAGCGAAAAATATGAGAGGTGAAAACTAAAGGACACAATTTAATGTCATTGATTGAATTTGCTATTCTATCCCTCTTTTATCAGTTTAAGTGCATTTTGCCCATGATTATTACTATTCCATATACATCTATATTTTAGCTACGACTGCTGTAAAATTGTTAATTTTCGTGGGGATTTATTTTCGTTTAATGTATGGGTGACCCCTAATCCACGAAATCGTGCCAACGAAATGATAAACATATAAAAGTAAGCATGGAGTATAGTATAAGTGAATTGTGTGAGCAAGATTTATCCACGAAATCAAGTGTCAACACCACGAAAATGCATATTTTGGAAAACCACAAAATTTGAGCACCACAAAAAAGGTGATTTTTCAGTGGTATCACGGCTGGTATTTTAGTGTTTACGTGGAATTTTCTTATCAATTATATTGTATGAACGCTTTAAATAGGTTTGTTTTCGCGGAAACGGTTTCGTCGTAACCTGGGTATTGTAAGTTATGAATAAGTCGTGAGTGGAGTCTGAATCACTGACCTGGTTTAGTTCACTGTAAAATCGCATTATCTAATCGTGAGGAAAGCATTTTAAAGATATATGTCTATTTTCTCTAGGAAGCCTCCTCCTCCTGTTCCAAGTAGGGTCAGATGCACCGTTCATGCAAAAATGGATCCTTTTCATCCAAAGATATTTCAGAATTTTTTGGGGTGCCGTCCCACATAAACACCACCTCACACACCTTCGCACACACACAACCACACAAAGCCCGATAAACACTCCTTCCTACAGGGAACAAATATTTTAAAGAATTCCGCTTACTTGTAAGATAACTTTTTGAAAAGTGGAGGCTTTAAGACGTCTATTGTTTCTGTAAGACAATATTGACAGATCTCTCTTTTATCTGAACTTGGATGTTCCTTTTGTCTTGAGATCTTCTTATTGTCATCTAGCACAGTTACGTGTAAACCATGACAGTCTTGAGTATCTAGTCATTAAAAATCTCACATTATGACAACGCGAGATGACTGATTTTTAGGATCATGTTGTTAATAATGAAATCTCATTGTGGGAAAACTATTCGAAAAATACAAACACCTACAATAAAACACGGGAAAAATTACAATTTGTGAAATCAAGACAGAAATTGACAAGAAACAAAGTGAGAGACCAGAAAAAATGATGAAAATTAAAAAACCATCCGAAAAGAAATTATTTAATTGTACGTTTTATTAGAGTCTGCAGACATATTTGATAAAGCTACATTGTGTAGGTCTGTTTAGAAACCAATTTTTTTTCAATATACTGTTTAAAGGGAGATAATTGGGTGAATGTTCACTACTTTTTACTTTGACTAGTGAGTTGTCTGGTGGTCAGCGTTTTGGTCCAGCAATACTTTCCGACGGACATTGATACAAGAACAAAAAACAAACAAACAAACAAAAAACCCAGATGGAGAAATAGTTAAACATGCTCATAATTTGTATGTGGGATGTATGGACATATAAAACGCAAATCGAAACTATTTTTGATACAGGGTGTCGAAATTCGTTGATCAATTATTACTTATAAATAGCGCTAGAAACACGGATGTCTAGTCAAATCACGGATTTAAGTCCGTGATCAAATGTACCATCTAGGTAGGTACTTTTTGGTATGTCAGATCCGTCACACTACTTCCATATTTGAACATTTATCTTTAATCATGACCACCATTCAACTGCTTTAAGAAGTGACATGACATTTACCTCCAAAATTCATTCGCAAATTGACCAAAAAGTTTGTTTATCTCACTAAAGGTATTTGATTATTCTGTAGTCGGATAGATTACATTAATTTGTGATATCTCTTCTGTAGTTAAAGTTTCTCAAGTCCCTAATAATTCTATTCAGTGCTCTACATTGGTGGAGAGTTTATTATATTTGAATAAGAATGAACTTATACATCAAACCATATTAAAACACTACATGTATTGTATATAAACCTATATTATATATTACAATTTACAATTGGCGAACGTAATCTAAATATATTACGTACGAGACTCAGACATCAGTGCAGCTCTTTGAAAAGTGATTTGTTCCGTGTTAAGATTGTTGATAACCCATCGTGTGCTTGTGGACATTACTGTGAGAATGTTGGTCATTTTTTTCCTAGAATGTAAGCTTTATGATAGAGTAAGAATAACGTTTTTTCAAAGTATAAACATGTTGAATATAGATCAAGTGAATTAACATCAATTTTTATTTGGAAATGACAGATTTTAACAAAAATGTACTAACTGATAAATGTATTATGTATGCCTTGTTAATGTTATCATGTAAATATTATCATGTATTGTATCAGAGGAAAAGGCGGTCATAAGTTGACATAACTTGTGCATAATCCTCTGCTCAATTTTGGGACAATATGTTTAAATCTAAATATGAACCTAAAAGTACGTACTAGGAACTGGTTTAGGTTATTTTTGTGGCGTGCAACCATATAGTGTTTTCTATAGTTACGTCCCTTGACGGACACCGCGCGGAAAACGTGTATGCGCATGTCATTATTAGTTGGATTCTTGGCGACAACAAAACATGGCCAAAATACCAACTATTGGCATATTTGTTTACTTTTATCAACGAATGTGATATATTAATCCACGGAATTAAAAACAACAGCAATGGATTACGGGTAAGGGTTGGTTGACATGTAAAGATATGCATTTTCGTTGAACATGCACATTTTATTAATACGCAGATCTGCTGTAAAACGGGGCCAAACCGTCAAATTTGACAGTTATGATCACAGGGGCTGGTTTTCGCTATTTTGAGTAATGTATTTCACCAGTTAATAAGCAAAACAAATAAATCCATTATTTTACACGCTCTGAAAACTTATTCTAAAAAATTGGGGTATCGGTTTATATTAACCGAAATCATCCATAACTCAACATCCCGAAACCAGCCTCCTTTGGTTCTGATCCGTAACGCGGCTACTGGCCCTAGATTTCTCCTCCTTTGCAATGACTTGAATCACTGTGACTGAAATAAGATATTTTACTGGACAAACTTAAACAATTTCTTTCTATATCTTAACTATACGTGTCGGCCTAGCTACCTATTTATCAGCTGTAAGTATATACATGTAGTTAGCCGGTGCTGTTACTTCAAGTTGTCTACAGACAAGACTGGTAGAAATTCTGCAGGAATATTGATGTGAATAGTTACCACATAGAGCGATTATTTTGATGCCATTGTCTTTATCATTAGTAAGATGAGCAGTCACGTGATATGTTCAAACAATTTGAAATGTAAGTGTAACAAACGGATAAAACTTGAAAAAAATCACTTTTGAAATACCCACCTATGCGAACTGGCAGAGGTTTATAAATTACCCTAAAATTGAAACCTGGTCAGTTACATAAATAGTAGTACCTCGAACAAAATGTTGAACATAGGCAATGGTCTCCTGCTGAAATGTTTGGTGTTTCATTGCCTACAGAACACAATAATTTTCAAGCAGTGTCTCTATATATACAACTTATTGCCTTGCTAAAAGCCTGTAGTTACACTATAAATGTAGCAGATAGTTCTCATTAGAATGCCCAATCAGACCTACATTGTACATGTATGATTGGCTGAGTATTTTGCCTTAGTTTTATTGAATCAGAGTTTGGGTTATTATTATGTTGAAATTTTCTTGGTTTTTTTCAACACCAGGCCAGGGTTTTCATCACGGTTATTTTGTCAACTTTCTAGTTTGTACTTGTATATTTCAGGTATTTGAAATTCAAAGCACAAAATGGAAAATCTGGCATATTTTGGGAACAAGGTCAGTATGTATAGTGTGTATGGTAAATGCAAATAAAATCAACATACAATGTACTTTACCTATACTCTGTCAATGAACTTCCATTACATTACTAATTAACATATAATTTCTTCATTTACTTAACTTTATATACATTTTGTGACAAAGCATAAATGTAGAACATGCAATACATATATATGTGTCTTTGTGTAGAGATACTTAATGAAAAGGACAGTTACATGTAATTAAAATGTTAATGGGTTTTATTTTTCAGAAAAGAAGAAACCAGAAAGAAAAGTGAGTTTCTCAAAATTTGATATCAACCAGTCTAGCTTACTGCCAGATCAAGTTTGATTAATGATTAATATTGTTAAAGATAAAAAGTAAAAAAGTTATAAAAAGTAATTAACTGGTTGAAGTTTCAAGCAAAATATATGTAATATTGAATATGTCAGCCACAGCAAGGGATATCAGGAACGCACTGAATAACCATTAAATAACAGCGTTGGCTCTATTTCCTGTCTTTAATTTTTTTTTTTTTTTTTTTTACTTGACTGTCATTTTAATGGCGCCGCAGCAGAACATCATTTCATACTACAAAAGTACATTCTATAACACATCTTACAACATGACTTGATTCCACTCACCGAATAAACTTAATAAGCAACTGTGACTAAACTGTGACAAGACATGACAAAGTGTGGCCAAGTGTGACAAAGGTGACAATGTAACTATAAGTGACATTGTACCCTGTGACCTCATGTAACACTATCTCATGACTTGTCGCTCATTAATTAAACAGACAAATTATATGTGACTCAATCCACCTGTTATAATGAATGTTATAATGACCATAACTGTGTGACTGATTGTGACCAATCACCAACCTAGTAAATAAAGTGACAACTCATTCTCTTCTATATGTCGCTACTATCCATTTTGACAAGTCGAGTACCAACAATTAATACGCACTTCAATAGATTCTGACTTCGAATCAAATATGTGACTAAGTAACTTGATGACTAGAAAGTGACTAGAGCAATACATGGCACTACACACCAGTTTCGACCGATACTGTCACAATAATAATTCATACTCCATATAAATTTTTTTTTTTTTTTTTGATATTTATTTTGTTTTTCAAACATTTTTGCATTACACAATAAGAATACCTTTCATACACCATTTACATTATATGCATCTTTTCGGTTACATGTACATCTTTATTACCAACAGCATCTTCACCCATACACCACCCTTGTCATTTTCATACACAACATAACATAATATCAACATCTTCCTCACAATCACCTTGAAATACTATCATCGTCGTCGCCGCCGCCGCCTTTAATATTGATATTTATTCATTGACTTTATTTTTTCATTTGATAATCATTAAAATGTTAGTGTTAATAAAAACTAGAAAAACATTTCATGTCCTTATCACAATCTGAAGAAGTATGTTCATTCATGTGTTTTCATTTACAGTTTGGCTATAAACGTAAAGATCAGCGATATTCAATTCGAACGAACCCACACAACGTTGTAGAGCTTGAGACAGAGCCAAACAAGGAGGAAGATGATGTACATAAACCTAACTTCATAGAGAGGAACAGGCAATTAGCAGCTACTAAAAATAAAGGAAAGAAACCAACACTACGTCCCCTAAAAAAATCTCCCACAGATACAGTGACCTTAACTCAAGATCAGCTTAATGCCATCTTAGCTTCTGTAGGCAAAGTTGCATCAGGGGAAGAAGACAACTTGCGAATTTCATTAGGTGGGCATGCTTTTTCCAGGATTTTAGGAATCATATATTGATAGATTTAAGACATCTTGGCATGTATCCTTTAGGAGAGAAATCAATGTAATTTAAAGGGTTTTTGTAAATGAATTCTGAAAAAAAAAATAGACAAAAATGTTAGGGAAGATATTTTTACCTTAAATTCAAATTGTTGAATATCATTGAGGAGAAGTCCAAGGGAGATAATCTATAGCATTGTAAACTTCTTTACTTTCTGGTATTATCTTACTATGAATAACTATTTAAACTTACATCAGACAAGAGAATAATTGATATTGGATGTACGTACGTAATTGCTTTAAATTATTTATGAAAAGGCTTTTTAATATCTTTTTAGATTCTAAGAAAAATTCTATAACAATTGAGTCACCAAGGAAGAGTCGAGATAGTGATTATTATGATCACAACTCAGCAGAAAGTGGTTATGATGATGATGATGATAAATACAATGACAAAAAGGACAAAGTGAAAAAAAGTAAATCAAAGAACTCAAAGCCAACAGAAGAAGAAACAACGATATTTGCACTGCTGAAAGAGTTTAGTCCAGAAACAAAGAAACCTGCCAAGTCAAGTAGGAAGTAAGATATTTTTCTCTGTATTCACTACTTTTTTATATATATATCTTATGTAGTCTCTGTTTAGTCATTTCACATCTTATTGTGTGTAAGCTTAGTTGCTAACTCATATACTTTATCATTACTGCCTGTTTTCCATCATTCTTCTTGTACAAATGCACAATTGAAGTTAATCAACTATTGTATTCACTGCACTTCTTTATTATTAAATATCTTCCATATGTTATTTCCTCCCTTTTCATCAAATTTAACAAATTCAAATTGATTTATTGTTAATAATGAGCTTGCACGGCCCTAGTGCCTCTTCACCCTGGCCTAAATATCATAACATGTGCGAAGATAAAAACAGCAGGAAAATATCCATACTTACATGTATAGAGTTTTGACCTGACGGTGGAAGTCCAAGTACTGCTTTGTGTCAACATGGTGGACATAGCGAAAAATAATTTCATTCAGCCAGACCTTTCCTCATGTATGGAGACAGAAAGAGTCTTGTTAAACAAAACTAAGCTATTAGTCTCTTACCTGGCAACAACTGCCAAGACTGTCTGAAGGAATAATCTGGGAAAACACAAAACATCAGGAACTAGTTCAGATTGAATAGAAGTTGTCACCAAGTATTTCGCCTCCATAAAATACCTGTTAACTATGCTTGCTCCGCATGACGTCATAATTCGTATTAGACTTCACGGTGAATTTGTATAACAACTGTGAAAATCAAGCTTGGCAAAGTTTCAACCAAGTGACCTAGATTATGAGGAATTTACAGTTCTAATAGTTGTATGGCTAGGTGAATTTATACCGAAACAAGACCTTGATTATGAAAAATTACAGTTCTAATAGTTGTAGAACTAAGTGATGTTCGACTGAAACGTGACCTTGATTATGAAGAGTTTATAATTCTGATAGTTGTAGAACTAGGTGATGTTATAACGAAACATGTGACCTAGATTATGAAGAGTTTACAGTTCTGATACTTGTAGAACTAGGTGATGTTATACCGAAACATGTGACCTAGATTATGAAGAGTTTACAGTCCTGAAAGTTGTAGAACTAGATGATGTTATACCGAAACATATGGAAAGCAATAACTACTTATGTTATTGTAGTATAATGTATTTTGAGTTCATGTAGCAGAAGTTGTAAAGATCTAGTGCCCTACATGTTATTATCATTATTATTGTTATTATTACATTCTCAAAGACCCGTCAACACATAAAAGGTCATTAGGGCCATCAAACTGTAAAACACACAGCGATCATGTAAATAATTTATTGTAGATATATCATCATACATATTCTGCAAATACAAGATTTGTATACATGAAAAATCATAATACTAATATAATGTATGATGAGATATACAGGACTGTTATCTTTTATTTATGAATCAGATGTGATATGTGAGAGAAATGTGGGTTTTTTTTCTTCAATTTGTTCATTGTTTTGCAAATTAGTCATAGGTTAAATTAAGTTTTTGACATTGTTATTAATTGAATTTAATACAATATTCTCAACTTTGATGTAGGGCTATTCAAACAATATTATTAATTATATTATAAATGAAATTTGAATGATCCATCATCTGCCCTTAAACAAAACTAGTAATTAATATTTCTTGGAAAGTACTGGTTGATCTTTCTCAAATATGTAGAATATGTAGGTCCCCCTAAGTCCCTTGTGGTGCCCCTTAATTTTGAGACAGATCAATTAAGCAAAAATAGTTTATCACTGTCCTGAAGAAATACAAGATGATTTTTTTTTTCAAGTTTTGAATATATCGTAGTAGATTTCCTTTGCCTAATTTCATTGTCAAGACTGATCAGAAAAGTGGCTGACTGGTGATCTTCTTGGATTTTGGACATTTTAGGTCACAGTTCTTTCTCTATTTCTCTAGATGTATAGGATGGATATTTTTCAGGTTTTATATATGGTGGTTGCTAGAATTCATACTAGTTATCATTCCTTTTTTCAGCTGGATTAGAAATATAAATTAGAGTATAACAAACTTCTAGTCTTTCACTGCCTTAGTAACCTTCCTGAAATCTCCCTGAATATTATACTTAATCTTTCTTTGTTGCAAGTGGAACTGGATGAAATGAAAGATTTTTTTTTAGTACAGTGTCCCCAACACCATCATTGAAAAAAAATATGTTTGATGTTAGAGTCAAGGTACATTACTATGCTTTAAGTGGTTCAAGAGTTAAGTTTAGGAGAAAAATTTTATCAAGATGGAAGAATGCTTTTTGCAAAAGGTTCAAAGCTGATTTGTCTTGACAGTACCCAAAAACTAAGCGACTCATAACAGTGTCAGAGAATTGTTAAATATATTGATACTGAATGTACATTATATTGAATGTATAACATTCAATTCAACAATTTATATTTCTGACAGATAATTATAAATGATCAATCAGTGAAATATACACAAGGTCTGATTCAGTGCTAACATTGGTGACAGAAGAACCTAAACTAGTGTATTGTACATAGCCAGTATAGTGTGTTTAGATCTGGCTATATAGATGTACTTTTATTGCTTAATATAACATGTGATTCAAAGTCTTTTACAAAAATATGTATCATTTCAATATATCTATCTGTTCTAGTTTCATATAACATTCTTGAAGTTTTAAGTGAATTAACTACAACTTTCTGTAAATTAATTTTCTTTCGCAGCTTTTATCTTTCACAATTTTAGCAACACAAGTTTAGGACAATTTACTTTTGTAAATTTTGATGGACAGTTGTAGAAATCAAAATTCACAGTTTTTAATTTACGATTTGACTTTAAGGGGAGGCGGTTTTTCTATTGCTGATTTGACTATGACAATTTTCTTGTTATAAGGATTACAAGAATGCAGGTCAGTTAATCACCTGTTCGTATAGCTTGGTTCCTTCACAGAAAATGTGTGGTCTCAGTTTTTCCATGTCAAAACATGATTAGGTGTCGTTTACTTTTTTGATAGCAATGTGAAGGTCAATCACAATCAATTCAAACTCTCACAATCTACTGAGTTACCAAACATTGATTCCTCAGAATCAGAGCTAATCTGAATTAGCTTTGACCACAAAAGTAGATGGCATGCGAAAGAAAGTTAGTTTAAAGTGAATTTAAATGACAAATGTTCTGTGATTCTTTTGTTTCAGTTTATCTTGAAACATACACTGATATATGATATCTGACTTTCTCAGTATTAACACTAACAAGTAAAGCTCTCATATTTTTGAAGCTTAATTAGTTCTATGATAAAAGCAATAAAGATAACTACAAGTAATTAAAAGTTGTTCTATCACATAAATTATATTCATGATAAAGAATTAATTTTTTTTTATTTTAATTTCTGTTTGAAAAAAAACCATTGTTATTTCCTAAACTTGTATTACATAGTAAAGTAAATTATTTTGGTTTTCAATAGGGAAGCGGACAGAAAGAAAGTAGATGATGATGAAAACAATTATGATTCAGATAGAGAAAATATTAAGGAGAAAAGAGGTAGAAAAAAGGAAACAAGCAGAGAAACAAAGCGTGATACTGAAAAACAGAGTAAAAACAGGGAGAAAAGTAGGGATAGAGAGAGAAGTAGAAAACGAGATCGTAGTCACAGCAGAGATCGTGATAGGAGACAGAAAAGGAATGACAGTGACTATGAAAACGAAAGAAGCAATAAGGATATTTCAATGGAAAGGAAAAGTAAAAATCACAGAGACTCGTACGAAAATAAGAAAAATAAATCTAAAGACAAGGAAATTGAGAAACATCAGGCCAGCGAGAATGGCGAGGGTGATAAGACAGAGGAAACTATTGAGAAAAAAATTATAACTCCAAGGGAGATAGCAGGTATTCCCATGTCATTACCATGGAAACACATGACCTTGGGAGAACGGCGAAGGTTAATGCTAGCCAGGATAGAGGCTGAAGCTGCAATGTAAGTCCTGTAATGATCTTGATGTGTATTTCTCTCAGAGTGTTCACTGTTTGTAAATACCTAGTAATTTCATGAGGGACTGGTTGATCAAAGATTCCAACATTAACGTATAATGTGTTATCAAATCATTTTGCATGCTATCCTTAATGGTAGTAGGTGTTGTTAGTTGTAAACACTTTGATGTTATGCCACATTTCCACTGCTTCTTGCTGCAACTTTTTTTAAAAATCGTTTATTGCATGCTTTATCTTTTGATTGTTACTGATTCACTGAACCGTCACATTTATTTCTGATGTAGGTAATTAATATGCATATTGATTGGTTATTTTTACACTACAATTTACATAATTTATGTTAATTAAATCTGAGCTACAATGTATGCAGAATAGAATTTATTTAATGTGTTGCCAAATTTTGCATACAATTACCTTTGTAAAAGTGTTTAAGAAATAATGAAAATGCTGTAAAGAAATTTTTTCAGTGATGTTAGAGTTTCCTATACAGTGCATTGTGACACAGTTTATAAAAAGTAGCATGAAACAGATGCTTTCAGTGGTAGTTTGCAGAACTCTGTTACACTTTTAATCTTCAAATAGCTTACCAGGTATATGTGTTATGAAGGTTGTACAGCCAAATAGAAGTTTTATTGATATATATGTTTATTGTGACATACAGATCTAGATCTACAATTAAATGTTTGAGGGAAGAAGGAAACTCATTACATGTACAGTATATAAATATATAAACCAGTATTTGGACATTTTATTGTATTGCACAAATATTTTTCAAAAGTAAATCCACTGAAATTTGAAGAAAAAAACCCAAACAAAGGCCATATCTGATTTTTTAGGTCATCTGACCTAAGGGGTCAAGATGACCTAATGCTAACGTGCAACATCTGTCATCGTTCACTGGCTGCCGTTTGCCATTGGTGAATATAAACTTTTCGTTTAAAACACTACTCTTGTTTGGGGATGGAGGATCATTTCTTAATTCAGAAATTTGATTTGACCCCTTGAGACCTGGGGATGGGGCTCTGAAATTGTAAACAATACTTTGCGTCAAAATGCTACTTTTCCTTTAATGCTTTAATAAATTTTATTCAAATTTTGTCTGTAACATAAGTACCAGTTGGCAAATAATTTCTGAGTTCAGAAATTTGATTTGACACTTGGGGGCCAGGCCCCAAATGAGGAAGTTATGCAATATTTTGTTTAAAACTGCTTATCCTTCTTATTGCCTGGATAGATCTCAACCAAATTTTATCTGACACATGGTTGCAGGTATGTTATTATTTCTTAAATTCAGAAAGTTGATTCGACCCCTAGGGACCAGGATGTAGGGCCCAAAATGGGAATATTATTCAATGATTGCTTCAAAGCACTTTTCTTCTTTAATGCTTGAATGGATTTATACCAAATGTGGTCTGAAATGTTATTGTGGGAATTCATCAGATTTGTCAGGCCACCATCTGCATATTCTGTGGTTTGTCCATCCATTCATCGATTGTCAGATGGCGATTTAGGGCCATGGGCCTCCTGTCCTTGCAATCTTGATTGTACTTTATCAGAAGTTACAGGATGGTGTAGGTAGGTCACAGCATGCTTGGCTGAGCTACCTGACCAACTTGTATGTAAAAATTGTTTCTGTAACAGTGTTACAGAAATAACCAGGAGTTGTTCTCATCTGTTTTGGCTTGGTATATGTTTTTGTAATGATGTTACAAAAGTTGACAAGAGGAGTTAGTCTGCTGGGATGTGTTAGTTTCTTGTCTAACATTCAGCTGACAGGACAACAACTTAGCGGACAGCAAAGTTATCGTACAAGCAAGAAATGTGTTGTGATATTACAAGGTTACCTACTTTTTCTAGAACATTAACAAGGTATAGGTACATCAATCCATATAAACACAATACAAGTGTTGTGTGTACTAATGCTTAGAGTTGGTACTACTTAAGGGTAAGGTTATAGATCTAGGATATGAAATGTTTATAGACAGATGTTGACTGGAATAACATTACATTCCCAGTGGAAAATATATTTGGCAACTGTAGATATCAAATGACCATTTCATAGCATGTGCAATTTTATTTCACTGGTTTGAATATGTACAGTACAGGTACATGAACTAATCATGCAGTCAAGAACCATGAAATTGTATAGGAGCTGAAGGAGATGTAGATGTTCCTGGTGTTGCCTAATTGGAATATTTCAATCTGCCAATAGAAGATTTGATATAAAATTTATTAATGCAAAACTTAAAACATTTGTTTTTGTATTGAAAAATCTGAGGAGTGTAGAAGAATGCAAGATAAAAAAAAGGATTCATGCAGGCATATATAAGTTTTTTTGCTTGACTTTTCAGAAAAGAGGCAGAGAAGAAAAAGTATGAGATAGAAGAACGTGAAAGGAAAGAACATGAAGAAAATGATAGTGGAAGAAAAAGTCACGACAGGGAAAAGAAACACCGTAGTAGAAATGATCGCGACAGTGATCGGAAAGAAAGGGACAGAAATAATCATCACAATGATCAGGATGATCAGGATGAACGCAGAAGTAGAAGGAAGGAAAGGGACAGAGACAGAAACAATCATCATGATGATTATGATGATCCTGATGATCGTAGCAGTAGAAGGAAAAAGAAAGCAAGTCGAGAGCGAAGACGATACAGTCCAGAACACCAGGACAGTGATGAGGATGATTACAATGACCATAGGAGAAAGGATACTCGCTCACATAGACGGAGAGATAGTCCCACGTCACAGGAAAAGAAACACCGGGATCGTCGTAATAGTGACAGAGACAGAACTCCATCAGATGATGAAAACAAGAATCAAAAGACAAAAGAAAAGTCACCTGAAAGGGCAGATTCCAAACCTCCCTTAGGTCTGCCTCCAGCACCAAAGACGCTCACCCTGGCCGAAAGGAAAAGACTTCAATGGGAAAAGGACAGAAGTATGGATTTCTTTTTCTTTTAAATAAAGAAGAGTAAAAAGAGATTGGAAATTACCTTTAAAAATGTGCTTGACTGGTAGATTCATTTAGGGTTTTATTGAGAAAATTGTTCATATGAAACGGATTGTTCAAGCAATGGAATTTGTTGTAAAGAGTAAAGTTTTTAAGTAACTCTGAATTTATTATTTCTATTTCTTAGCATAATGGCAATCTTTTCCAAAATCATTCTTTTTAACAGAAAGATATTTGCAAACACGAAAAAACATATTATACAGAAACTGTTTGCTTTTACAGTTGAACTTGCAAAGCAGTATGACCCTTGGGGAAGGCCAGGAGCTGGAGCCCCGATAAGGACCAAATCTGGAAATGTAGCAGCTGACTACAAGACAAGACAGGTGCCTACAAGAGTGGTTCATGATCGCCACACCTTCCTCATTGACTAACGGGTGGTATTGCATGGTGTATGATGTTGGGACAGGGTTGTTGAATAACACTGGGCTAAATAACTAATGGGTTTAATTTTTCAGTACGTTATGCTGGATAAGGGGGTTTAAGGTGCCCAGAGATGCTTTCCTGTGGCAAAAGGTTAAATAGGAATGCCAAGTTCATTGTCATAACTACTTGATGAATTATATGTTGACTTACACACCTGTAGAACAGGTATACTCAATAGCAGGGTGATCTTATGAAACAGTAGGAGATAAATTACAAATACAGATGTTTAGAACAGGATTACCTGAAGTTAGGGAATGTTAGACTGTGTTTGGATATCTATACAAATTCTAATATATACTCAGATGTAATATCATATTGCTTGGATAAAGTTTTTCAAAGTAAGTTGTGGAATCAGTTTGTTTAGGCAATTTTTAGGGGCATTAAGAATTTCATTTACTGGTATACAACATGATATGTAGAGTATTATAATTAAACAAAGATATTACCAGATCCAACTTATAACTTTATACAGCCTTTTCCAGTTAAGGTTTTTTAACAGACATCCTAACTATGTCTTACATCCAAGCATCGTCTGAAATCCATGAGACTGCTCTGTTTTTTCATGGGTTTCAGACGATAAGAGTATAAAGAGTGGAGAGTATTCATAAGATTAAAATGTTATTTGTTACAATAAATGTGCAACAGAAAGCCCATCAGCTTTGCTTTCTAACCAATATTTTATTTCAAATAAAGTAGGGAAATAATTTTAACAAGATAAAGATGATTTGAAGTTAAGAAACATTTTTACTCATTCCTGTCTAGTTGCTTAGTGTTGTATTAGTTGTTGATACAGCATCTGGGTTAGTGGGTTTAAAAGTTTATTATAATTGTTGTAAATACATCTACTGTGTAGTACTAATAGTTCAACATGCAGGTCACATGTTGTATCTATCTCCAGTGTTAGTATGGGACTACATTGATAATTAGTCGGGTTGGTTTGTTATTGACATGTTTACAAAATATGTTTTATAGTGCATTCATTGGATGAAGTTGAAGCTTGTTGATCGAGCAACTTTTGTAGATAATTTTCTGAAATATGTGGTTTCTGAAAGATAAGGTTGTGTTTTATACATAGTAGAGGTCAAAATCTCTCAATGGATTAGTGATGGAAGGAAGCACAGTAGGAGGAAAAAGGATAGAGGTGTATAAACTGTTCATCTCTCTGACTCTGAGTAAGGAAAAAATATGTTGTGTTCAACTCAGGAAAAAGGAAACTTAGATGGACAGGTTAAAGTGGTGTTTGTAGGAACTTATATAAAGAGGGTGAAGTGGTGTTAGGCCCAAAGGGAAGGGACTGGTTGTTAAGATAGAAATTGATTGTGTATAACACATGTAGAACAGGCATTCAGTTGCGGGTGGGGATTGATACTTCAAATAGAAATAATGTTCAGCCCCTGTGGAACAGTGAACAAGTGTTCAGCCCCAATGGGAGGGAGAGTTATGGTAGAAAAAGGAACAGTGGACAAGTGTTCAGCCCCAATGGGAGGGAGAGTTATGGTAGAAAAAGGAACAGTGGACAAGTGCTCAGCCCCAATGGGAGGGAGAGTTACTGTAGAAAAGTTAGTGTTCAGCCCCAGGGGAGGGAGAGTTATGGTAGAAAAGTTAGTGTTCAGCTCCAGGGGAGGGAGAGTTATGGTAGAAAAAGGAACGGTGGACAAGTGTTCAGCCCCAGGGGAGGGAGAGTTATGGTAGAAAAAGGAACAGTGGACAAGTGTTCAGCCCCAGGGGAGGGAGAGTTACGGTAAAAAAAGGAACAAAGGACTAGTGTTCAGCCCCAATGGGAGGGAGAGTTATGGTAGAAAAAGGAACAGTGGACAAGTGTTCAGCCCCAATGGGAGGGAGAGTTATGGTAGAAAAAGGAACAGTGGACAAGTGCTCAGCCCCAATGGGAGGGAGAGTTACTGTAGAAAAGTTAGTGTTCAGCCCCAGGGGAGGGATAGTTATGGTAGAAAAGTTAGTGTTCAGCTCCAGGGGAGGGAGAGTTATGGTAGAAAAAGGAACAGTGGACAAGTGTTCAGCCCCAGGGGAGGGAGAGTTATGGTAGAAAAAGGAACAGTGGACAAGTGTTCAGCCCCAGGGGAGGGAGAGTTACGGTAAAAAAAGGAACAAAGGACTAGTGTTCAGCCCCAATGGGAGGGAGAGTTATGGTAGAAAAAGGAACAGTGGACAAGTGTTCAGCCCCAGGGGAGGGAGAGTTACGGTAAAAAAAGGAACAAAGGACTAGTGTTCAGCCCCAGGGGAGGGAGAGTTACGGTAAAAAAAGGAACAAAGGACTAGTGTTCAGCCCCTGGGGAGGGAGAGTTACGGTAAAAAAAAGGAACAAAGGACTAGTGTTCAGCCCCTGGGGAGGGAGAGACACTGTAGAAAAGTTAGTGTTCAGTCCCAGAGGATAGTTACTGTAGAAATAGTGAGCTAGCTTGTGTTCAGTCCCAGGGGAGAGTTACTGTAGAAAGAGTGAGCTATTTTGTGTTCAGTCCAAGGAAGGGAATCAACACTTCAGAGACTGTAGTGGTATTCAACCCTAAAAAGGGGATTTCCAGGTAAGGAAGAAGTCAAAGTATTCACCTACATGTGAATATGTGTAGTACTGTATGATTGTGGAGTATATTCCTACGCTTAAACGTTCCTTTATGCTGAACCTTTGGGAAAGTTATAGCTGAAAGAAAGTGTTTGAGGAAAATGAAGCAGATATATACTGAACTATAATATTTGTTATAGACCGGTAATACTTTTGGCAAAGTCTTGTACTTGTTGGTTTTCTGGTAAAACCTCAATGTTAAAATGGATTGTTCATGTTGCCCTCTAATCAAAATGTTCTATAACAGTATTATCTATTTTATTAAATTCATTTGACATCGAAAGGGAAATATTTATTGAGTAATGACTGGTTTCAGATTACAAAGAATAAAAATACAAATAGTCCAGATATAGGGGAAAGAATAGATAAAGACACATGGATTTTGTTCATAATAAGAGATCTAGTAATTTAATTATTTCAATGACAGAAGCACCAACAAAGTTGGGAAATATAGATTTATTTTGCAGAAGATATATTTTAACATGGTAGATACTAATTACTGTAGTGTTAACACTAAGCATGGAATATCTGTCCATATTATCTAGTCTAGGATCATATATTTAACAGCATTTTCATTTTTTCTACTCATTATTCATTTTATTTATTTACCAGTAAGATAAGGTAATCACTCAAATGTATACATTATTACAAACGCTAGATTTTCTATTTTATAATGATGTTTTTCTATTTATGTGTCTCTCCTTGATGTTTTTCTGATAGAATTTTGTTATTGGTGAAAAGGCTTAAATATAGTAGTGCCTTCTTAAACATTTTTGAAATACATATATAAAGTAGCTTCTTATGATACAAAGTGTACAGATATATTCTTTAGAAATTCTCTAGATTTGTCAGTGTCTGATTTATTATCCCCACATAAATCATTTCACCTCCTCGATGATAAATACTCCATATATTGAGCCCATTTCACATCCAATAGGTTTGTATTTTGTTTTGTTACAAACTGGTGGATGATCTGGAAAGGAAAATGTATTCAAACGACATAAATATGTGTAGAGATGTAATTTAGTTCAGATTTTAAATAAGAGATTAAATTTGGCAAAGTGAAGTATCCTGTAAGGTAAAAAAACAAAATCCTGTTTCAAAATTTGAATTCGTATTTATCCAGATTTAAACAAAGTTTGTGATGTCATGGAGAATTTTTTTGTAAATACATTTTGTTGTTATCTACAAAGTGAAAAGCTAGACACAGTGGCTACCAATGTATTTTTCGTAGTTTATATGATAAACAGACATCTGTGATATTAAAACTACTGGTACACAGAATTTTAAATGGGTGTTATGTGAAAATGAATTGCTTTATCTGTATACAAATTGACAACTTAATATTGAATTGCATCAACAATGTGGCTTATAAATATTCAGATGAAATTCAGAGGCTGCCACAACCAAAAAATGACACCGGGCTGGAATTAGTTTATAATTTTATACATGAGATATTGTAGCCATTATACCATAGAACTAAAATATTTATATAACATAGGTTACACAAAAATACCATACTGAACAGCTTTATTATAATTTGACATTGATTAGATTCAAGTACTACAGTACTGGTAAAATTGGAAATTTTTATACAGGTCCTTTGGGACATTTTGATCTAACATTATCATTTATAGAACAGGTCATTATAAAGACAGTAAAGGTACATGTTCTTTGGGCCCCATAGGTATATATTGATTAAGTTTTGTCAGGTCCTATCAGTTTTTTCCAAGTCCTTCAGGGGCCCTGTTTCTATATAGAACAGTGGAAGTCATTAGTAACAGAGATGCATTTAAAACTAAGAATTTATATTAGTCTAATTAAACTGAGAATTCCTATTAGCCTAATTAAATGAAGAATATCTGTAAGCCTGATAAAACTAAGAATTTCTATTAACTTGATTAAGAAACATAAAAGTTGTAATTTGCAATAACTGATATCTTCGATGGAGGAAAAGTAAAAGTATTGATTAAAAGTCCCTGCTGGACATTATATTGTATCCTGAAAGTCCATACACAGAACTTAAAAATTATTGTTTTGGTTAGTCTTTTGTTTGTTTGTTTTTTTCCCAATATTTAACCTGATACTGCTGGGACTACATTGACTTTACATAATATAATGATGGTTGTGTTTAAGTGACACTGAAATTTTCCAATAAATAGTAAAAAATAATAATCAAGTTGTTGTTGATAAAATCATTATAGAGATTAGATATAGAGTTTAAATATGTTGATAAGAATGTAGATGTAAGAAATTAATTTAGAATTATTATAAGGTAATAAAAATGTAGAAGAAGAACAACAAGTAGGTTTGCTAACATTT